CATCCCATCAGGAAATGAGACTTGTCAGTAACGCATAGTGCAGATTGTATGGGAATCAGCATTCAAACACATTGATTATGAAGCAATACAGAAACCCGGAGAAGAGGGATGGGAGCATCTAAAGAAACATAAGAAAAACAGTGTAATGTGCTACTTTTAACATGCCAAGCACATCACTCATGTTGTGTCCCAAGAATGAAAAAAAAGACAATTCTGAAAAAGATATACATTTAAAAGTATACTGGTCACAAAGTGTGAATTCTAAAATTTAAACTTGTAAATAACCATATTTTTCAGCAGATGCTGCAATTAATATTAAAATCAATCCACTGACTATATAACTCTCTGTGTTCTTGCAGAGTTCTAAAGCAATTGAGAGAATCCCAAGCAATTCTTGATGATTTCTGGAAATCTCTGATATGCAAAGCTGATAAATTACATTAATTGGGGAAGAGGAGGGCTTGGCTGAGTTATCTCCTGGCAGAAGTGATATTTTTTCCCCCTCCAATTCTCCTTCAGCATGAGTTAAAGAAGATTTTGCATGACATGAGAAAAGATCTGCAGCATAATGTATAAGGTGTGCACAGACCTGCAATTTTCTTTGATCATTTTGTGCTGCCTGCATATGCAATAATAATAGTAGTAGTAGTAATAGTAGTAATTTTATTTCTTACCCACCTCTCCTCACGGCTCAAGGCGGGTTACAGAACAATTAAAAAACACAAAACTGCAAAAGCACTACAAATATAGATATTAGAATGTACCTCTATAAAAACTACATACCAAAACTTATCTCTATAAAATACATATTAGAAAACACTAGTGTGCATGTGTTGGTAAAAAAAGGATTTGGAAAATTACTGTTTTGAGTCCAGTTCAATTCTGCTGTCTTTAGTCATTGTGCTCTCAATTTGACTATATGAGGACCATGCTGTTTAACTTCCATTCTGTTTGTTTATTGCAACACATTTTAGTGAAAGAGCCTAATTCTTCACTCTGTTAGACTTTGGAACTTTATTTTTCATTAAACTTGCTTTCCTGAGTTTAAGTTATTTCTTTACTAGTTTGCTGTTAAATATATTAGAAATGAGATAAATTCAAATTGAAATAGGGCATAATTAGTGTTGAGGCATAAAGCCTATTATTCGTTCCAGTTAGAGTAGATTTAGTTAAATCAGTTGAAGCTTGGTAACCCCTCACTTAGATTTTATTGATTCATTGGATCTATTGGAATTGGGATTAACTCTTAGGCCCCATCTACACTTCTCTATAATGCATTTTCATAGTGTAGTTTAACTGCATTGAATTGCATTTTATGAGTACACTGCCATATAACACAGTTCAATGCAGTTATACTATATATAGGGCAGTAAAGATGGGACTTTAGTTGATGTGCTTTTAAAAATAAAATGTAACCAATATTCTTCCTGTATCTGACAAAGAATTTGGAAAAAAATATTTTGCCAGTAACTTAAGAATACCATAACTGATTTCCAGTTTGAATATGATCAAATGGGTGAGTCCATGCTTAACTTTCTTTTTCTGGTAAAATAAAATGAATTACACAAAGCTGTAACTATTTCGTAAAGATACATTCCAAAATTATTAAAATTTGCAAGATCTCAACATTTTTATGCTTTAATTTCATTAAAAACATCTGAAAGTCCTGGTTGATTAATTTTGCATTCATTGAACTACTGTACAGTATGTCTTTTTAAAACTATTCAAGGCCTTCAGGTTAGTTTTATTTGAGCAATTACTCATTTTCTTTTGGGACTAATTTTTGTTATTATGTTAGTAGGTATTTTGTAGCTGTGTTTTATAACACCTTAATCTGTTTTTACTGGTATCCTTTAGAGTGACTTCAATAATATTCAGATCCAGATTTGGAATTCGAAACCTAAAATGTTTGTGTAAGTTATATAGCCGGGTGACTTATTAACATTTTTTCTTGGGTAACACTTTATTTGAGTCAGAGTGGGTACATTTCCAATTTTTTAATCTTCATTGGCATAAGCTGTTTTGTTTTGACCAAAGCCTTAGGGGCTGATGACCTGCTCCACTCCAATTAAAAATAAAAGGAATTGAGCATTGCTATTTTTCTTGTAATAGACTTTTAAAACTAATTTTAAATCGGTAATTCAGTAATTATAGCAGCAAGTTCTCTTTATAAGTTTATGTATAGTGCTAGTTTTGCAATCAGAAGCTAGAATTAGGGCATTTCCAGACAGCGCCAAAATGTGTACTTTAAATCTGGGGCAAACAATTCCGAGACATGACAGTAGGTCCACACATAGACCTGTCAGTCCTGGGACATGGTCCTCCAGCGGAAGTTTTATTTTTAAAGAAATTCACCCCATTATGCGCTGGACCTCATATGCATAAAGCGAATGTTTTAATGTAAATACAGATTTCTTATCTCTCTTCACTCAATTGTTAATTCAAGCTGTTTCAGAAAGGTCTAATTACTTTCCACTTGTGCTCTCCTTGAGCCACCTGTGTGTCCTTGGCTCCACGTTTTGATACCCTGATCAGCGGTTTCAGGCTTTTAAAAAAATGCGCATGTGCTGGAGCAGTCCACATAGGCGAAAGGGAAGGAAAGCATGTGTTTTGCATGACTTTGTGGATATAGAGCAGGCATGGGCCAACTTTCTTGCCCAGGGGCCACCTTCTGAGCCTAGCTGCAAGGGTTGGGCCGGGAGGGAGTGCAGGTGGGGCCAGAAGGGGCTAGGGCTGGGGTTGGAAGAGGCAAGGCTGGGCTGGAAAAGGGTAGGATTCAGGAGGAAGAGGGTAGGGTTGAAGAGGGAGAGGGCGGGGTTGGGGCAGGAGGGGGTGAGGTGGGAGGAGGAGACACATGGTGCTCGCAAGAGTGTTCTTGGCAGTGCCGTGTTTCTCCCCTCGCTTCTCCTCTGAGTCTGGGAAAATCACCTGTGCCTTTCAAAGCCTCCAAGGAGGAGAAACACGGAGCTGGTGAGAACCCTTTCTCCAGTGCTTTGTTTCTCCCCCCAGTTTTCCTCTGAGTCCAGGCAAGACTCACCTTCCCAAGGCTTAGAGGAGAAGTAATAAGCACCGTGTTTCTCCCCCACTTCTCCTTTGAGTCTGGGGAAAGCAATCTGCCTTCCCAAGCCTTAGAGAACAAAGAGAAACACAGAGCTGGTGCGATCCCTTTCTCCAGTGCTGTGTTTCTCCCCAGCTTCTCCTCAAAGTCTGAGAAAGACTCACCTGGGCCTGTCCAAAGCTCAGAGGAGAAGGAATAACATAGTACTGGCAATATCTGTCTAGCCAGTGCTGTGTTTCTTCCCCTCTGAGTCTCTGAGTCTAGGGAAGGTGGCCCACCTTCCCAAGCCTCCAAGGAGAAGGAGAAACACGGAGCTGGCAAGAGTCCTTTCTCCAGCACCATGTTTCTCAAAGGAGAAGGAATAATACGGTGCTGGCGATAGTTGCTAGTACTGTGTTTTCCTTTTGAAAAGATTGTAGGAATTCTTTAAAATATGTATAAGAAAAATGGGTTTCTTGTTGTAGAAATAGTGCTTTTTTCTTTCTCTTGTCAAAAGTGTTTTTAAAAAGATGTCTTACAGATTTGATTTTTGAATCAAGTTGCTATGGTGTTTGTATCTTTGTTTACCTATTTCTGTTCTGGGTTGCCATAGAAATATTTACTTACTGTGCTCAGACGTAGATTTATTAAACAGCAAGAACAAATAATTTCAAATCAATGCAGCACACAAAATTCTAAGTTTAAAAATCTAAAACTTTGAAACTTCTTAAATCTGGGAGTATTAGCATTCTACAAAGCTGATGTTCTGAAAAGCCAAGCTTTATCTCTTGTAAATATCACCTCAATTACAAAGTGCATATATATGTTTGATGTCACTATTCAGGTTAGACCTCCAGAAGACTTGTTCAGTTCTGACCAGCAACTAGTACAAGTGCCTGCAAGCAGCCCCTCTAGTCCTGACTTGGCCACAATATGATTACATATTGAAAACTTTCTATCTACTTTGGTTACATAGTTAGTGGCTGAAGCTATTTTTCTGCTTTCATCTGAATGCACAGGAAAAGACTTGCCTGTAGCTCAGTAAGAACTCTAGGTGATCTCTGATAACTCATGGATGCTCCGGTCTTTGTTGAAAGTTTCCTTGATCAGTTCCAGATAGTGACATCATTTAGACCACAGCTGCAGATTGTAAACCTGTCTGCTTCAAATTTGGCTTAGATTCAACCTAAATAAATTATTTTAGACAGAGTTGCTAAACTTTTTCCCCATATGGTTCAATTAGAATTTTCTGTTTAAATTTTACCTTTTTATTCATATTACTTTCTCGGTAGGACATATAATGATCAAGTGCCACCTTGTGGAATATTGTCATATTCAAAGAATATCTCTAAAGCACGGCTTCTAAAATGTGGTCCCTGATCCCAAATGGGGTCCCCTTAGCTCAATGTTGACAACATCTAGACCAAACTTGGCACAAATACTCAACATGCCCAAATATGAACACAGATGGAGTTTGGCACGAATACTCAATATGCCCAAATATGAACACAGATGGAGCTTGGGTGAAATATACCTTGACATTTGGGAGTTGTAGTTACTGGGATTTATAGTTCACCTACAATCAAAGAGCATTCTGAACCCCACCAACGATAGAATTGGGCCAAACTTCCCACAAAGAACCCCCATGACCAACAGAAAATACTGCGTTTTCTTATGGTCTTTGGCAACCCCTTGTGACTCCCCCCAGGGGTCCCAACCCCCAGGTTGAGAAATGCTGCCTTAAGTCCATCCAGTCCAACACCCTTCACCAGGGCAAGAAAACATAATCAAAGCCCTCCTGACAAAGAGCCATCCAGCCATATATATAGATAGATATTATTCACACAAACACACATATTTTACAGCTCATGTTATGTTGAGAAAATTTAAGAAGATGGTAAAATGTGATATGTAGTCACAGTAAATTATTATATACTTACAATTTATTTTTGTTTTTTTACAGATGATTCTTTGGGACTGGGATTTAACTCACTGGCATAAACCTTACTATCAGGTCAGTGTGTTTTGAATATGTTTTCAAAATTCCAACACTGCTAATAAGTAGATAAATGATTAACAAATATTCCTATATGCAGGGAATGTCTGCTTATCTAACTAGGTTGGGAACCAGAGCACTCTCAAAACTGGATTTCATTGAAAACTGAAATGCAGGTTTTTTTTAAAAAAAAAAGATGTAAATACATTTTGACTGTTTACAGAAGATCCACATCAAAAGGCCGTTGTTTTCAATCGGAAATCAAGGGCTTCCTTCGTTCCTGGCAGGAGGGGCTGTATGAAACTTGCTTCAGTAAACTCTAGATTGAAGACACCTGACAAAAATATTTAGAGAAAACTCGGTTGTAAAACTGATGAGAAGATACAACCTGATTTAGGACACATCTGCACTAAAGAATTCATGCAATTTGACACCGGTTACTACCATGGCTCAATGCTATGGAATCATGAGAGTTGTAGTTTAGTCAGGCACCAGCAGTCTTAGCTAAAGGCCTTGTAAAAGTACAAGTCCCAGGAATCCATATCATTGGAATTTTCTAAAAGGTACAATCAAAAGTCTTAAAGATGGTACTGCATTCCTTTTTTTTCCTTCTCCCTCCCTTCCTCTTTTTTTTTTTACACTATATTGTCAAGGACTGTATTTCCACTTGGTAGAGATATTCCCGTAATATTTGGCATAACTAAGTTCCTTTCAACACATTTTCCTAGCAACATTTTTATTGTTTCCTGATGAGAACTTTATTGCTTCCTGATGAGTTCTGCTGGGGCTTTAGTGATGAATAGCCTAATCACTGTAATTTGAATAGCTTCCAAGATGGAGTCCTATACTTACCTGGGAGTAAGCCTAATTGGACTTGATAAAACTTACCTCTGACTGGATTTTTAAAGATTTGTTGTTATTCACTCTAATGTCTCACCATTTTTATTTGGAGTGTTCTGAGATACAACTTTGTTACTGGCAGCCAGAGTAGTCACTAGAGCTTGGAGTTTCTGGGACCATGCTTGAATGATCTAGCTTTTCTAAATAGGAGTAACCTGGCAGCACTGGTTTGAGAATCGGCAATGCAGTGCATTCTGCATGGGCCTGCACTGAATACAACTTGGAAATGTAGCAATTAGTCTGCTGACCAGAATATTATGCAGGCAGAATACAATACTAATCTTAAAAGAATTTCCTTGTTTGCCATGCTTCCAGAACTCAGGGCCCTATATCCCAGGATCTGATCCCAGGTTTTCTGGATTAAACTGGATTATATGTCTGTACTGCCAAATAATCTGGGATAAACAGAAAACCTGGGGTTAGATCCTGGAATATAGGGCCTGTCTGGAAGGGCCCTCAGGGTCCTGGTAAAAACATTTAAATTTTTAAATAGCTTGGGATCTCAATATTTAAAGAACTCCTTCTTCCTCTATATGCCAGTCTGAGTACTATACGTGTAGCCTCTATGATCCAGCAGCCAGAGCAATAAATTGTTTGAGGACACTGTTAACATATCTCTTGTGGAATGACTTTCTATTGGAAGTCCAATTGTGGTTTAATTTCAGTGTTAAAACTGAGATATTTATTAAAGTTTTTAGGGTGTATTTTTTTTCATTCAAATCTGTTATAATTTTTTAATTATTCAACTTTTAAAATAATTAAACTGTTTTGGATACGTTTTGAATGTTTATATAAAAGTTTTCCAATCTGTGTGTCACAGCATGTTAGTATGTCGGCTACAGTATGTTGGTATGTCTCGGTAATGTAACAAGAAATGACAAAAATATTGGAAATGTATGTTATTATCTTACAAATCAAATATTTTAAAAACATATAAATGAAGGTTTTTATGGGATATTTTGTGTCTCCACACATTTTGTTATTACAAGTTATGTATGTGTCCGTATCACTTATAAGGGGGTTTAACCTCCAGTTTGCTACCAAAACTGAATTACTGTGCCGTGAAATGATGTATGTCTAAAAAGTGTGTCACCAACATGAAATTTTTGGAAAGCTCTAGTATAGGTCATCTTATTGTTTTCAATTTTAAATGGTTTAAAAATATTTTATTGTAAACCAGTCTGAGGGTGGTTCTACACAGGCACTGAAATGCAGTCTTTAGGTCAGGTTCCACAAAATGTACACCCCCCAATGTGCACTATAGCACATCCAGCTAGAAACAGTATAGTAAAAAAAGCTCACTGGAAATTCCAGAGTAGGTCATAAAATCCACTGAAGCCAATCACTGTATATCCCATGCAGAGCTGGAATCAAGACAAAAATGTGAAGTGCTCATCAAGACAGGGCTAGCGCTGATGTATTCTTAAAATCTGGAAACACATCTCCCCAGCAGAGAAAACTACATTGTTCATGAGCTGCTGCCCATCAGAACTCATCCTGCCGATGCTAGTCAGCGCATTCCATTGGATGAGGTACGAAAAAATATGCATGGCTTCAGATTGATCCACATTTAGTGTTCCTGCATTGCCCAGTGTATGTGTTCTGCAGCGAACCGCTTCTCTTTAATGCATATCTTGACTCTGTTTAAATGGCTGTGTAGAACCGGCCTCAGATCCTATGATATAAAGCAGATGTTATGATTTTAACAACAACAACAACCATTACAACAATACATTTTAAACAGATTGCAAGTAATCCACTGTTCTCTTTATCCTGTGCTTAGAGCAGAGAATAAATGATATACTGTATATACTCATAAGAACTTGTTTGATAAAGTATGTTGTGGTATTGCCTATATACCATATCAAAACATCCAAGATCTATATCTCTATCAATATTTTTATATTCAGCTTCATAATAAAAAGGCTGCTGTTACTAATCGTTCATTGTTTTTGTTTCAGAATGCTTGCAGTGGAAATAGAATTGATCTTTCTATACTAAATGAGACTCGCAACATGGTGTCTGATCTCCTGAACGATCCAGTCCTTCCACCTCATGTGATCTCTTCACTTCGAAGTATCAATAGCTTAATAAGTACTTTCTCAGGCACATGCAAACCAAAGCTTAACCTGTTTACTCCCTTTCCGGGGTTTTATCCATATCCAGAAATGGAAGACTCATCTGAAAGAGGAGATCGTAAACTGCATAAGGTCAAAATAACACAATTTCAGTCATTGCATGATATGCTTGTATATTATCTAACATATTTTATGAAATTTGAAACACCATATTCTAGATGCTTTACCCATATGATAATTTTTCACGTTTTTCTATATTAGTTTGTAATCAACAACTTTCAAACACAATGAAGTAATGTTTACTATATACTACATTACTAGTTTTGCTGATTAACTGTTGTGTGAGCTATATACTGTACAATTTGGCCCACTTCAAAAGATAGTATGGTTAAACTTGAAAGGCAATTTTTGCATCCCCTCTCTTTTAATGACATGTCTTACCATGAACACAAGTGTGAAGTCAAATAATTAGCTGGTTATTCAATACAGAAAATTTCATTGAACTCTGAATATTCCACTCTTGCATTGCCTCAGTTCTCTTCTCACAAATTTCAACTTTCATAATTCTTTTCTCTTTCTGCCTGTTGTGATCTACAACTATTATTTTGTGAAGCCTGAGCACTATTTAGAAGTTTTGTCTTGTCCTATTTTTTTATTTTTTTTTTTGCTTCAACTGTGCATGTATTTGCTATTATTTATTAATACCCCAGATTCTAGATTTCTGGTCCAGTCCTTCTTTTGATCAACTTCCTTTAGTTACCTTCTATCTTGTCCTATTGCTCTGCTACTCCTCTTCTCCCATAGTTACTCTTCCCCTTTCTGTTTAGCTACTGTTTTGCTTTGTGTAACTTCTTATTCCAGAATTCTTTCTCCTTTCCTTCAGGTTCCCTTATGTGTGTATTATCTATTTTGTAGCTTTATTTCAGCCTCTGTGAACCCTTCACAGTATCCTCTAGTTTTTCTGGTTACTGAAACCTTTTTTCCCAATATTTCCATCCCAGTGTGAAGTTTTAATCCCAGTAAGACTGATAGTTTTTCAGTCCTTAAAGAATCTAGATAACAAATTGTTTTATTTTGTAAGAAAGTAAACATTTCATTTTGTCATACCAGCTCAGCCTACCACTGTTGCATACCTCACTGCCACAAATGCACTATGAAGCTTTTCATTTAATACTTGAATCCATCTTTTGCTCTAGGAGGTTTGAGTATAAATTGTTGTGTGCCTTCAAATTGTTTCTGACTTACTGTAATTTTAAAGAGCCAGTATATAGAATAATGTTTATATTGGAAAGTGCTTATTGTAGTTTTAAAGGTTGTATATTATTTGATGTCATGGCCGATGGTTGGTACAATAAACAATTCATTCAAGACATACTGTAACCCTAAAATGAATGTATCACAGACATTTCTTGACACAGGGAGTTTGCCTTTTATTTTATTTGAGGCCAAGAGAGTATGGCCCCATCTACACTGCCATATAATACAGTTTCTGCATGTAGACTAACTGCATTGAACTGGATTATATGGCAATGCAGACTCATACAATCCAGTTCAAAGCAGTTAATCTATATTCTGAAACTGGATTATATGGCAGTGTAGAGCTAGCCTAAGGCTATATCATCCAGTTTGAACTGCATTGTAATGGTCAGTGTAGACTCATTTAATGCAGATTAAACTGCATCAAATTGTATTATATGAGTTCATTACTATATAATCCAGTTCAATGGAGTTAATCTGCATTCTGAAACTGGGTTATATGACAGTGTAGATCAGCCTTGGTCTTGTCTAAACCCACTGGGTTTCCATGTCTGCGTAGAGATTTCAATCTTGGTTTTTAGAATTGCAGCCCAACACTTAAACCACTACACCATATTGGGAATTTTGGGGCAGCAAGACAAATAAAAAAGTCCGACATTTTTATGTATTCATTTAAGTTTAAATTAAATGAAATTGCCATTTGGAATATACCTTGGTGTACTTGGAATTATCTTGATTCGTTTAAATCAGAAGTGAGCAAAATGTTGCCCCATAGTGTTTCATATCAATTCTATATAACTCCCAGATGAAACACTCTGAAAAATGTCTTCTTATAACAGTTACATCCTATTTCTGAACACAGATTTAGCAGTGTAAAAAAACCCAGAGTCAGCAAAATTAAATTTCAGTGCCAAATAGAGGGAGTATCATTTGAATGGGGCGGCGGTGGGGGGTAATCATTCAAGAGGGGCTTTAGGTAAAGTCAGAAGAAGCAGGGAAAAAATTAGATCCTTAGAAAATACCCAGCCCTGATTTAACCTGGGAAATAAATGTATCGAATAAAGCTATATACTGATGTAGAAAAACACAGCCATTCTTTACTCATTCAACAGACAATGAACAGCCGAAATAGTTTGCCAACTCCACAGTTAAGGCGGAGTTCAGGAGCAACAAGTTTACTGCCTATTGAACCATCTTCTAGGTGGGATCGCAGTAATGGCAAACGAGTACATCTTGAGTATAATTCTTCAAGGTAAGGGCTGTATTAATATAAAATTTCTTAGTTTCCATCTTGTTTAGTATTTATTAACTTTTGAAATAAAAACATTCAGATAAAATAGAAAATTGAGTTGATAGAGGAAATGTTTCAGAGAAAATCTGTTTAATCAAACTAATTTTTTTTACTAATACAGTACAGTTACTATTATAAAAATGTTTGCAAATCGACAGTGTATGCTTTAATTCCTTCATTCATTCAAAATATCAAAAGCACAACACACTAATACATAATAAAAAATTGATGGTATGACTAATTCTGAACCTAAGATGTTAAAAGAAATAATGAACCGAGATAAATTCCTCAGTGTCAAATCCATACTAAAACATCATGTCACACTACATTCTCTGGAAACACAGCCAGCTGTACTCCGGGACCTTCCACACAATTCTATATCCCAAAATATCGAGGCAGAAAATCCCACTTTATCTGAGTGTGGACTCAGATAACCCAGTTCAAAGCAGATATTGTGGGATTTTCTGCCTTGATATTCTGGGATATAGGGCTGTGTATAAGGGCCCTCGGTCTACAATATTTTCCATAGGAGACCAAATGGCAGACTAGACTACAATTTAAGTAGTTATTCATATTAACTTTTATTTCTGTTTCCAGAGGGGTGGATATTTAAGGTGCATGTTTTTTGGGGCTTGAGGGAAGGCCTATCTTGATCATAAAGCAGCTATGGGGAGTATTTGTCTGCAGTGTTACTAATATCAGCTATCATGCTGTATATATATCTTAATAATAACAACCATACCTCAACCAGTTTTTGATCTGTGACCACATATAAAATATTTTTTAAAAAGGAGCAAACATAAAGGAACAATCGTTTACCGTAAGTAAAATAATATTATATTTAGTAGTGTGATTTCTCACAAATTGTTAATTAGCGTTTCAATTTCTGTAAATTTATTATTTTATAAGTACAGGTCCCTGAGCTACAAATGCCTGATTTATAAGCAACTCATAGTTAAGAACGGGGTGTGAGACAAAAGGAAGTGAGAGACATCTACCCATAGAGAGAGTAATTCACTTTCTAAATAGTTACCATGGGGAAAAGGTGTCTCCACTGAAGCTTTATCACCAACCCTTGTTCTCACAACAAGCCGAATTTTTCAAAATCCAATTATCACAAGGACAGGAAGTGAGGAGAAATCTTCTGAACAGGGGCACAGACAGCAAATAATAATAATAATAATAATAATAATAATAATAATAATAAATACCACAGGGGCATAAACCCTTCCCTATGCTATCAAAAGCCTATATATATAGCTGGAGCTACACTTAAGAAATGTACCTGTTCTGAATTACATACAAATTCAACTTAAGAACAAACCTACAGAGCCTATCTTGTTCATAACTTGGGAGCTGCTTGTACTGCAGAGATCTAAAATGGGGCTTAACTAGTGAGCATTAGTAAGATCAAACAGTTGTTATACAGGGGATAGAAATTTCATTTAAATTTCACATAAAGTACCATATATTAAAATTAATCTTTATTTTCTCATCCAGAAAATAAGATGCCAGGCTCTAAAGCTCTTACATCTTTAAATGTGTATTAAATTGTGTAGTTTGTATGCATTGTCAACCTTTCAAACAGCAGATGGCATCATTTAGCAACATAGCTGCAAGCTTATAATTAGAAACCAAAACTAGGACAGAACTTTTTTCAACAATGATTAGTGTTGAAATTAAATAGTGCACAAAACAGCCTTGATCGATATCATTCATGCTAAATATGCATTGGGATAATAATCACAAGTCTTGTCTCCCAGTAAAAGGTAAAGGTACTCCCCTGACATTAAGTCTAGTCATGTCTGACTCTGGGGTGTGGTGCTCATCTCCATTTCTAAGCCGAAGAGCCAGCGTTGTCCGTAGACACCTCCAAGGTCATGTGGCCGGCATGACTGCATGGCGCGCCGTTACCTTCCCGCCAGAGCGGGAAGGTAACGGTTTAATTTTGATAAAGCTGTATGAATGGTTTAATTTTGATAAAGCTGTATGAATAAACAAATATTTAAATGGCTGTCCTCATTAAAAAGTGAATATTTTTCAAAATTGGTGCTAGGAAAATTGTCTATTAAGGAAGATGGCACAATGTGTCTAATGAACTAATACACAAGTAATTTCAAATCATATAAAAATAGTTCACTTTGTGCTGTTCAGTGAGTTACAATTGCCTGAGGAAGAAGAAAATCTGTTACATTGTAAAAATTGTGGCTAGGTTATACCTCAAGGGAGCTGTGTATGTCACTGAGGTGAAGGGAGGCGTGTAAATGAAGGGTGATATGTATGCATGTGCATTAGAGGGGATAGCTGAAAAAAGGGAATGGAAACAGAAAGATACATAGAAATTATTGAAAAGAATGAACCAGAGGTTTGTTTCTTAAATTCCAAAAATATTGTTCCTATTTAGAGTGTACTGGCATATGCCACTTATAAATTGGTAGGTAGAAAAGTACAGCCCCAAAGGAAATAACAAAAGGAATCATTTGACACTCTAAAAAGAGTTAACAAGTGGGGAAAACTGCAGTAATCAAATATTCAGAAAGATATGGCCCATACCTATCGTAGTGGTTCTCAAAGTTTGGACAGATCTACACCAACCCACTAAAACGGGGTCAATTTAATGTGGGATAAGCAGGATCAGCCCTGGCATGGGTCACACAGCCACTCCCCCAGCTGCTGCGAAGATGGGAGAGAGCCCAGATTGTCCAGTGGTGTCGGACATGGTTCAGTGTTTCTAGACAGCCAACCTTACTATCCTCTCTCGCTCTCCAAGTTGTAACAGTCTCTGGCTGTGACACAGGTCCTACCTGCAATGATGTCATCAGGGGCATCATGGGAGGCGAAGAGGAGATCTGCTGGGGTTTGTTTCCAGGATGCCCTGTAGAGATCCAAATATGTAGAGGTTCAAGTCCTATTATGTAAATGCTGTCCCTTATACACAATAGCAGACAGCTCAAATAAATGGTGGAGATAGCCTGAAGATCTGTGAAATGGTGGAAGCTACAGCAAGGTATACCTATATATCAGCATAGCGTTCAGCACATAGCAAACTCAAGGTTTGTTTTCTGGATTTTTTCCTGAATATTTTCAAGCCCAGTTTCTTGAATCTGTGGATGATGTACTGATATCAGTACAGTATTTTTTTACCTTTTTTCCATTATGTTTCAACCTTTGTACCATGTTTAGATTAAAATTATTGCAAACTCTATTGTGACATCTGGAGGAATATTAAAATGGAAGGACAACATTTTGCCTTAACCCCTTCTGCATTTTTCTAGAAATATTTCTTTAGATTGAATCCAGTATTTCAGTCTGTAAATAGATGTGCTTCTTCTGCTTATACATGGGTCTAAAAAGCTCAATTGCAACAAGGGAGGGGGAGGGGGAGTACTTGGCCTCTTCCATTTGCAACACTGCAACACCACCCCCCACCCCCTTTCCAGCTGCAGCAAAACCAGCTTTTTAGAGAAAGGAGAAGTTTGTGAAAAATGTCTCCTTACTCCTTGTATTCAGTGCTCATGGAATCACTAGATACTAACCATATTATTGTGAAAGCATTATGTTTGGCATATCTGGTATTTTGGGATTGCACGACTGTCTTGTATTACATACCAATATTGCATGGAAATATAAATGGGAAAATCTTCTTGGATTCTTCTACTTCTTGTTGACTTCTCATAGATACCTGTTTGTAAACTGTGAAAGAAATGCTAGATTAGGTAGGTCTTTGGTATTATCCAGTCAATTGTTTTCATTTAGAAATAGTTGTTCTATTCAGAGAGGATGGCAGGTAATGGTTGAATGATTGGGTTTACTTTACAGGTGATTTATATCTTATTTTATCAGTTTTTTAATGTGTCTGTTTTGAATTTATATGGAGCAATATTTGCTTGTAAGATATGTTCTTAGTCATTTCCATTCATGTAATTTTGGTCTTTTTTTACATTTTAATCACAAGATTACAATATGTTTTATTTTATTTTCAATTAAGTAAAATAACAGGAAAAAATCTTGTTGTTTTTATTTTGATTAGCCAAGGATCTTACCCTAATGGACCTCTTAACACAAACTTGTTGACAATACCAAAACAAAGATCATCTTCAGTGACTTTGGCTCACAGTATAGGATCAAAACGAGCTGGTAGGATCAAAATGTATTGCTTCTTTTTAGTTTGTCTTTTGGCTGTAAAATATTTAGGGGGATGCAAAATAACAACATACAGCATGCTATCTGTTTGCTGATAGAAAAGCATACAGATTTATTTATTTATTTATACACAGTATTTCTAGCCCGCATTTCTCAACCCAAGCTGCTTATAGTAACAATTTGTTATAGGAGGCTATTGTAGACTACCTAATATGTTGCATATTGGTTTTCTGTCTTAAAATAAATTTTTTTTTTAATCTAAACACATACACTTAGTTTTACCCTCAATAAGGGTAAATATTTGTACGTTTTAAATCCCTACAAAATTACTCAGCCCCATGGAGATAAGATTTTTTGTTGTTTTTAATTGCTCTGAGGTCTGCTTTGATTTAATGAGGACCCCCATGTTACCCTATTATCAAATAGCCTTACTGTTAAGAGTGGTGACTCAAAAAATTATGAATAATTATATCACAACTATCTCATATCATGGGAAAATTTAAAAGAAGCTTAAAGTAGTTCTGAGCACCATAGGAAGGCACTAAAAAAGCTCAATAACATTTCTATACTGTGACTGTGAAATATACAAGATCTCAACTTCCTTTGTTTTTCTCACAAAGAATTAGTAATTAAGGACTTACCTACATTAGACATACAAACTAATAATATGCATTTATTGTATTTCTACTTCCTTTTCTGAAAAAGAAAGATTCTCAATGCAGCTAATGATAATTAGAACAGAATATTGATAAAAGTGAATAAACTAAAACCAAAACATACAACATACATCATTAAAAGAGAATGCCTTCATTCTGCCAGTTTTTCCATTTACCACAACCCCCCCCCCCCCCCCCCCACTAGCAAATGAGCTTAAATGCATTATATGGTCAGTGTAGATTCATATAATGGAGTTTAGGGTAATTCAACTGCATTATATGAGCCTACACTGACCATACATATAATGCACTTTCAAACTACAGTGTAGATTTGGCCACTGAGAGGCAACCTAAGTTCCTTCAGCAGGAAATTCCATGTTATCTCATATTCTCATCAAATGTGTCTAATGGGTAGTGAAATAGTATGCTGGATCTCTTTCTGTTATGAATGATTATTATAGTTTATGTTTTATGTAGTATTCTTATAGTTTATGTTTTATGTAATTGATTATGTTTTTGTTTATGTTTGGATTTTATTTATTGTATTTCTTGTTGGGCTTGGCCTCATGTAAGCTGCCCTGAGTCCCAGTTGGGGAGATGGTGGTGGGGTACAAATAAAGATTATTATTATTATTATTATTATTATTATTATTATTATTATTATTATTATTTCTCTGTTCTTGGTGAATTACTGGTAAGGGAAGAGGCAGCCTAAACTGGCGCACAATAGCAAACATTTAAGCCAAAGCAAGTTCTAAAATTGGTTCCTTAATTTTTTTGTTTTAACAGTAGTCCATATGGACAAATCTGTTATCCTTTCTTTCTTGTAGTGTGTTGTCCCAAACAACATTTCCTGCCCAATCTCATTGAATTGTTTTTGGGGAAGGGTTTGGTGGGGAGGGGGGGCGCATTCAGGTGAATCAATAAGTTTCCAATTTCAGCCATATTAAAATGTGTGGTGTTCTATGGGCTACTCTCATTTTTGACCAATGAGGATGTTTAAATAGCTTATCAGTATGAGGCAAGAATACTATCCAGGTTATGAGATCGTTCTCTTTATCATGTTTAATGCCTAGTTTCCTTTTCTAAGACACTTTTTTCTATTTCCTGATGTACTTAATTTTCCCTTTCCCATAGTTTAGCAATTAGCATTCTATAAACATAGAGCAGGGAAAATGGGATGGTGGCACTAGCCCATGTGAACAGCTGTATTGGTTCGAATTAGAACTGGTCCGGCTGTTCATACCAAGCCCAAAATGCTCCGGAGCATTTCAAAACTTTGGCTAACATGGGATAAAATTGGATTTACTGGTTTTTGTTGGGAATCAAGAGCTGTTAGGCTCAAAAATAACCCTCTCTGGGGGTGATTCCACCAAAATATAGCAGAGTGCAGGGTGCACAGTAAATAAGCAGCAGAAACTTACATGTAGTGAGCAAGGTACGACTTCCATTCAACAGGATGGAACAGGATTGCAGATCCACAACTCATAGGATCAAAATAATATGTTTATTAAAGATAAAAGAAATCCATTCTGGATAGGAAAGGTTCTTGGAGCTAACTAGCTTCACTGAGCTATCATCTAAGGTAAAAGAAAAGGAAAAATAATAAAAGTAACTATTTCTACTACATCCTTGCTGGACAAAAGCAAGATGCTTCCTCACTCTATGGAGGACAAAAAGGAAGTGAGCCTGAAAATGGAGACAGGCCACATGGCCCAGCCTAGGGCAATAAAGATACCTTTAAAAGAGGAAGTTACGTTTTCCCTATAGGATTACATTCCTAGGTATTCAAATGGGGAGGAGATAGTACCATGCAAAGGGCAATTCCCCTTCTTAACCCCTTCTTAACCAACTTAACTACAGGAAATAGGGAGGAATCCCTAAGTTTATCTAGTCTATCTACTCATTGAGGGCTGGAGACTTGTGCAGTCAGGGATGAAACCCAACAATCCCCTTCTTTTCATCTAGGACTGCTCAAGTCTATCAGGTTCAGCATCTTCTTCAGCTTGTCATGAGCTTGTCTGGGTAACGGCTTCGTCAGGATGTCTGCAATCATATCTTCTGATTTGCAATATTCCAGTCTCATAAATCCTTCTTCATATGCATTCTTCACAATATGATATTTTGTATCCACATGTTTGAGTAGAGGGCTGATTCTCTCTGTCTGGGAATACTTTAGACAACCTTGATTGTCTTCAAAGACTTCTATTGGTGTTGGTTCACTAATTCCAAAATCAAGTAGTACCATGTGAAGCCACTTCAGTTGCTTGCACGCTTCCGCTGCTGATACATATTCTGCTTCAGTTGATGATGATGCAACAATCTTTTGTTTTTGTGTTGTCCAGTCTATCAGTGCATCTCCATAGAAAAACAGGTAACCACTTGTTGATTTTCTATCTGTAATATCATTAGCCCAATCCGAGTCCACATATCCTTTAAGTATGAGGTTACTGGTAGCTTGTAGTCTCAACTTGAGGTTCAATGTCCCCTTCAGGTATCTTGCAACTCTTTTAATTGCAATCAAATCATGTTTGGTTGGTTGACTGGTCTTCCTGCACAGTATTCCAATCGCTGCTGAAATGTCAGGTCTTGTAATCCTGCTGATGTACAGTAGCTTTCCAATAGCCTCTCTATATAAGCTATTGTCTGGTAACAGTTCACTTTCTGAAGAGTTTTTCCAGTAATTCACTTCCATGGGTGTACTTACTGGATTTGCATATGAGAGTCCAAGATGTTTCAATAAGTCCAGTATCTTCTGTCTTTGATTTAGCAAAAAACTTCCATCTTCTTCTCTTTCAATTTGTATCCCTAAGTAATGGGATATGTTTCCAAGTTGTTTCACTTTCACAGTACAGTTAAGATGTTGGACAACTTCATCAAAGTCGCATTTCTTTTCAAAACAAAAAATGATGTCATCCACATAAGTTAGAACATATGTCCATCTATTGTTCTTGAATCTAGAATAGAGACAAGGGTCAGCATTGCCTTGAGCAAAACCCTGCTCAATCAACATTTGATTCAGTTTTTCATTCCAGCATTTTGCCGCCTGCTTTAAACCATAGATTGATTTCTTTAATTTGCATACATAGCCTTTGTGTGCTTTGTCCTCAAAGCCTGGTGGTTGTTGCATAAAAATGTCTTCCTTCAAGTCACCGTGAAGAAAGGCTGTTGACACGTCCAAGTGTTGGACATCCATGTTTCTTGAAGCTGCTATAGTAAGCAAAAGTCTTAGAGTTGTATGTTTCACAACAGGTGCAAAGGTTTGGTCATAATCTTCACCAAACTCTTGTGAATAGCCTTTAGCAACAAGTCTGGCTTTGTATCTCTGTATCTCTCCATTCTCATCATGCTTTAACTTGAATACCCATTTGCATCCAACAATATTCTTGTTCTCAGGTGGTGGAACAAGTGTCCATGTTTGATTCTGTTGCAGTGATTCCATTTCATCCATTGCTGCATTCATCCATTTCTCCTTTTCATCCTCTGGTAATCTTTGCATTTGATTCCAGGATGATGGTTCTTGCGGTTCCATTTCATTGCTTAGATAAGCAAAACGCAAAGGAGGGACGCCTTTATTTTCTCTTTCAGATCTGCGAAGCAATGTCTCTGTTTGTCCATCGGGTGGCACTGTATTCTCATTTGGTCTGTTGAGGTGCAGTTGTTCTTCTTGGCCACTGGGTGGTGTTGGCTCTTCATCTGACCTCCTGAGATGCAGTTGCTCTGCTTGACCACTGGGTGGTGGCGGCCCTTCAGTTGGCCTCCAAGAATGCAGTTGCTCCGCTTGACCACTGGATGGCGCGGCTCCTTCAGTTGGCCTCCAAGAATGCAGTTGCTTCGCTTGACCACTGGATGGCGCGGCTCCTTCCCCTTCTTGACCGCATGGTTGGCCTGGGACAAAAGGGCCTGGCTTCTCTTGAGCCTCTGGAAAGTTATTTCCCTCTATCCTTTCATCAAAATATACAACTTTTCCAACAGTCAGTGTTTTGTTTTGGGGATCAAACAAACGGTAGCCTTTGTGCTCAGAACTGTATCCAATCAAAATTAGAGGCTTAGAAGTCTGATCAAACTTGCTACTTCGTTTCACTTCAGGTACATACATATATGCCTTTGAGCCAAAAACTCTCAAATGATTCACAGAAGGCGGATGTCCATTCCACAATTCATATGGAGTCACATTTCTGCTTGCACTTGGAAGTCTATTTTGCAAATAACAAGCAGTGTTAACTGCTTCAGCCCAAAGATAATGCTGTAATTTTGCATCCAACAGCATAGTTCTGGCCATTTCAATTAGGCTTCTATTTTTCCTCTCTGCAACACCATTCTGGTGTGGAAAATATGGCAATGAATGCTGGTGATGAATACCATATTTTCTCAAGACATTATCAATTGCCTCATTGCAAAATTCACTTCCATTGTCAGTCCTGAAAGCCTCAGGAAACTTATCAAATTGATTTTTCACTTTTGCTAGAAAGTCCAACAGTTTGTCATACACTTCACTTTTATTCTTCAAGAAATAAACAAAACAATATCTCGAAAAATCATCGGTAAAGGTAAGGATGTACTTCATGCCCCTTAAAGATGCAGTTTTCATCGGACCACAAACATCACTATGTATGAGCTGCAGGGGGCGCTCCGTCACCATCTCACTACTTTTTGGAACAATGGGGGCTACTGCCTTCCCCTGAAGGCACATGGCACATCTTTGTTTGCAGCATTGCTCAACTTCCAAATCTCTACACAAATCCTTTGCCTTCAATGTGTATTTGGCACAAGCATGACCAAATCTTCTATGCCACAGTTGAAAACAATTCTTATTTTGGCATTCTGATATCATAAGTCCAGAAATCTTGGGTGCTAAATTGACTTTGTACAATCCCATATAGTGACTGGCTGTTAGGATCACTTCTCCATCCTTTTCCACAGAACAAAGACTATCTCTGAAATTAAACGTATAACCTTTTTGTTCTAAAACTGCGAGGCTTATGAGATTAGTCTGTAGACGGTTGGAGAATTTAGCACCTTCTAGGTAAATATCATTTTTAGTGTCCAAACAGGTCAATTTTACAGTCCCAATTTCAGTACATATTACTTCATCTTTGCCAATTCCATATACAGAAGATTGGCATTCTTCTAGATGAGTGAAATAAGCTCTATTTGAGAAATAATGATCAGTTGCACCACTGTCAATAAACACATCTTCTTTGTTTACTTTATTTCTGGAAAACTTAAAAAGTACATCTTCATCTAGTTCATTTTTCTGTTCCAACTCACTTGGGTCATTAGGGCTTGGCATAGCTAATTTCGCATTTCCTCTGGAAAAATGCCTCTGTGGAGGGGGGTGATTAGACCCACTAGCACTCCCTTTGTTATTCCAATGACCTCTGCCTGATGAACTAGGAATCTCTGCCATGTGGTCAGGTTGCCTAGCAACAGGAGTTGCTGGGTTTCTTAAATACTGTTTGTTTTCCTTTGCTTTCCAGCAATTTCGTTGGAGATGTCCTTGTTTTCCACAAAAATGGCATACTTTTGGGCTTGCATTTTGAAACCTTTTGTAGCCTTTTGCAGCCTTAAGGGCCATACCATCTTTGGCTTCAATGATACTTCCATTCTGGTGAATATATTGAGCTTTCAACTCAGAAATTAAGTCATCAAGAGTCATGGGCTTTTCCTTGTCTTGGGTATTTCTCAAAATCAATACAGCTTGTTTATATTTTTCATCAATTTGCAGATGAACAAGAGAAATAATCATCTTATCACTCAAAGTCTCTCCATTCAATCTTAATTGTTCAACCAAGGAACGTATTTCTTCCAGATAATCAAATAAGTCACTTTCTGAATGCATTTTCAATGTAAACAATTTTTGATAAGCCAGAATAATTTCAGCTATTGAGCCTTTTCCATACATTTGCTCCAAACGATAAAGCATCTCTTTGGCTGTTTTAGCACTTCTAATACATGCAAATACTTTATCCGATAATGCCAGAGATATTATGGACCTCACCGTTCTGTCTGTATCTTTCCATTCATCCAGTCCCTGAGCTGCTGGATCTGGAGGGTCCTCTTGTAAAACTTTCAGCTGCTTTCTGTTCAAAGCCAGCTCAAGCCTTTCTTTCCAATTCAGGAAATTTCCTCCTCTTGTCTCCAGCTTGGGGAGATTCACAGGAGATTCTTGCCTTCTCTCCATGGTCATCAGCTTCCAGTCAAGGAAAAATTTCCCAAAAATCAAAATCAAAACAAAAATGCTCCAAAAAATCCCTCAGAACCTTTCTCTATTGCTCTTTGCAATGCAATCCTTTAAAAATGCTCAGCGTACACGTTCTGGGCCTCAATAACCCATTGTTGGGAATCAAGAGCTGTTAGGCTCAAAAATAACCCTCTCTGGGGGTGATTCCACCAAAATATAGCAGAGTGCAGGGTGCACAGTAAATAAGCAGCAGAAACTTACATGTAGTGAGCAAGGTACGACTTCCATTCAACAGGATGGAACAGGATTGCAGATCCACAACTCATAGGATCAAAATAATATGTTTATTAAAGATAAAAGAAATCCATTCTGGATAGGAAAGGTTCTTGGAGCTAACTAGCTTCACTGAGCTATCATCTAAGGTAAAAGAAAAGGAAAAATAATAAAAGTAACTATTTCTACTACATCCTTGCTGGACAAAAGCAAGATGCTTCCTCACTCTATGGAGGACAAAAAGGAAGTGAGCCTGAAAATGGAGACAGACCACATGGCCCAGCCTAGGGCAATAAAGATACCTTTAAAAGAGGAAGTTACGTTTTCCCTATAGGATTACATTCCTAGGTATTCAAATGGGGAGGAGATAGTACCATGCAAAGGGCAATTCCCCTTCTTAACCCCTTCTTAACCAACTTAACTACAGGAAATAGGGAGGAATCCCTAAGTTTATCTAGTCTATCTACTCATTGAGGGCTGGAGACTTGTGCAGTCAGGGATGAAACCCAACAGTTTTATCCCCAGTTAGAGGACAGAAGTTCCTGAATGTCAAGTGGATGTCCAGAAGCAACTTCCAGTGTTCGTTGCTCATGTAGACATGCACTAAGCTATTTTAAATCACATCTATGTTGTCTCCATGCATGTGTGCTTGAATTGGAGAGAGTGAGATTACTCCTACTAGTTAGTATGTATAAGATATGAAACAGATGTTGATTAATATAAATTCTAGACATAGCAATACAATATGGTCACTTCTGAGATTATCTGTTTCTTTGGAATCACCCTCGTGTGTATTTTATATGTTAGGAAAGTTTGTCAGACTGGATGCTTTTTGTGTGTTGTGCTTCTAATTTTTTTCTTTGGCGTCCTCCACACACGCTGTACTCATTCTGTAGGAACTTCCCAGAATCCAATTCCTGTGACTTCTCCTAGTAGTGGATTTCTCTTTGGTGGATACCACAGGTCACCTGTAGAATTTCCTGACACTGCTGATTTTCTTACTAAGCCAAGCATTATGAATAAATCTTTGGGATGCACATTTAGTTCTTCAGATTTTCAACAACAAATTAGAACATCTTCACATTATACATGTAGCAGGTAATGATCTCCTTCTATTTATTCAGCATTTAAATAATAATATGTAAACAAAATTTGTATTATAGACTTCTATGGGTAAAGTGACAATACATGGTTAAGATGGAGTACTTTTATTTTCATGAATGGTTCATGTAATTTTTTTTCATATTTTGACTACTATTCCTTGTATTTTATTAAACTTACCAACTAGGGTGCTTTTATATTTGGTAGCAGACTGTAGTTACTTTAAAAACTACATGTTTTTTGTATTTCCTCCTTTATAGACATTGCTTTCTGTACTGTTCACTAACAGTATAGGCCACTTCCACCTGAAAAAACAATTGTACTAAATCCAATGTTAGTCCTAACTACCCCAGATCTATATAAATCAGTGTAAATTAATTTAATTATAGTGGGTTTTCTAGTTCGATTAGTGAGATTTGGATAACTAAGGTTTAAATCTATTTTTAGACTAATTTAACTTATTTAAGTCTGCACTTACTTACCTAAATCACATTAACTCAGGAAAATTATTTTGATTGAGGACACTGAATAAGAGCTGTATTGAAACATTTGTTTTTTGTATGTTGCTTAAAGATACATGGCATGCTATTTAAAAGCTGTAATTAGAAATTAGAAATGACTTTTTAAAAACCTTGTTTTGTTTTCCATAAGTTGTGGACGACTAATATTCAAGTCAGTTGCTACTTCATTATCTGAATCTGTAGCAGAATACCAAAACCACAAAACAGGTGGGTTTATAAATAACCTGTATTTCTACTCTTTGTTTCAATAACAACCTACTTTTGTAGAAGATGTATTTTTTTAGCTTGACAGAAATCTTCCACATCTGTTGAAAACTGATTTTGATTCACTTCAGTGGGCTAGAATTTAAAATTATATTTGAATGAACTCTACAATTTGAAGGATCTGGTTTTAATTAGCGTATATAGTAATATAAATCATATATGGAGAAATTACTGTCTATAAATTGTATAACTTGTATTATTGAAATATATAGATTTAAAAACACGATTATCAACAATAAAATAATAAAAATTATTTTATTGTTGATAAAATAAATAATAAAAAAGGGACATGTTTCCACGCTCTTCTCCATTAATGCTGTTTTCCCTTAGGCAGCTATTTTTAAATTTCATATCTTAGGCCCCTTCTATAAAATTCAGATTATCATCTTTGAACTGGATTATATGGCAGTATAGACACATATAATCCGATTTTGGATTAACTGGAAGTGTAGAAGGGGCCTTAGTTTTGATTATTGTTTGCCATTGTCCACCAACTTCAGCACTGTTGCTCATGGCTGATCCCCATCATCTTTCTCTTATTTCAAATCCAGCAGAGATAATATTGCATGCCACTACTGGCAAGGTACGAGTCACAGGAGTCTTTCCTTAGGTACCAAAGGATGTGGTTTCCTCAGTGATGAAGCAACAGAAACAGCATAATACAGGCTCTGCACAAGATTTGGGACTAGACATTGGAAATAATATCTAACCTTTTATAAATCCTTGCATGAAGTATGAAATGTCAGTGCTCTGAACACATCCATTTATGCCATAGACTCTCTCTGAGATTAGTAGCTTTCAGAAAGAAAGGAAGGAAGGACAGTAGTGGGTACAAAGGAAACACCTATCCCTTTGCCCTCACATTAAGCTAATAAAATGGTTACCGATCAAATCCACGAGAGTAGTAGTTATACCTGCTACTCTCTTGGAGTTATCTTTGTTCCAAATGAATATAGGGCCGACGCCTGATCAATTTTTGTTAACATTTTATTAGCTTAATGTGAGGGCAAAGGGATAGGTGTTTCCTTTGTACCCACTACTGTCCTTTCTTTCTTTCTTTCTTTCTTTCTTTCTTTCTTTCTTTCTTTCTTTCTTTCTTTCTTTCCTTCCTTCCTTCCTTCCTTCCTTCCTTCCTTCCTTCCTTCCTTCCTTCCTTCCTTCCTCCCTTCTTCCCTTCTTCCCTTCTTCCCTTCTTCCCTTCTTCCCTTCTTCCCTTCTTCCCTTCTTTCCTTCTTTCCTTCTTTCCTTCTTTCCTTCTTTCCTTCTTTCTTTCTTTTAGATAAAACATGGGACCTGGATAAACTACTATGGTAATTTTCACAATAGTACAAAAAAGAAGGATGATCTACTTATCACTGTAGCTCTTTAAGTAGTCATCTGAAGTTACACAACACACCTTCCTCCCCTTTCTTTCCATATTTTGCTTGTTTTCTATTTGTGATAGCCACAGAACGCTTGGGTTGGGGGGGGGGGGCGGCGGCAGTGTTTCACAGTTCCTGTCAAAGGCTGCTCATTTCTTGAATGTTCTAATCAGGGCTGTATACAGGTCCAAAACTCATTTGAATGAGTTAATAAATGACCATTCAAAATAGTAGCATTGCAGATATCCCCTTGTATAAACCTGTCACAGAAACAGTTTAGGAGAATAGATGAGCCCAAGATTATTAATTTATTTTAATTAAACTGCAACTATTATTGCTTGTTATTTAAGGTGACGATGGAAATACAGATGTTTCAAAAGATTCAACCCACTTTATAGAGAAACAGCAGAGTGAAACAGGAGAAATAAAAAATCACAATAATTTGTTGGAGGTAAGCATATATTATTTCACTAATACCCGTTGTTAAGTGATTTGTGATTTAATAAAATGTTTAATATTACATTATAAAGAATTCCTAGTATATATATTTGACTTACTCTTGGTATTCTTCACATTTTTAGAAACAAGCTTTCAAAATGCAGAAATTCATAAAATCTATATTTATTTTTTTTAATTGTTTTTTTACTATGATGGCAACAGGAACACTCTGCCACAGACAGTAGATCTGGCAAGACTGAACTTCCTCTTGTTAGGCCAAAAATTGTTTTCTGTTCTTCTTTGAAATAATCCTAATTTGCCTGAATCCAGTATCATTATGCTTCCTCTCCCCTTCCTTTTACCCCATCTAACTTTTTATTAAAACCTGGTCCAATTAGTTTTTTTCCAAAATAGTTATTTTCAAAGAAGTAGCGGCATTAGCTTTTGTATCATAAAACATAGAAATGAAAGAAAGGGAAAGAAAGCCCTCAGAACACTTAGAAAAGTAATAAAAACTTACGCAGCCTCCATTACAAACTTCGGCCAACTCTTCTGGCATGTAGAAATGACGCATCAGGAGAAGGGGGGAGGGAGGGAGGAAAATCCCCGCCCCCCCCCCCCACTATTCTGGTGCATCATTTCTACTTGCTGGGAGAGCTGGCCGAAGATTATAATGGAGGCCGTGTAAGTTTTTATTACTTTTCTAAGGGGTCTGGGGCTTGGGGGGAGGGCTTCCAGATGTTATCTTAGGGTAGTCCCGAGAGAATGTCTGGACACCCACCCCAGAAAGCGTGCACTTCTGGGATAAAAAGCTGTCTGTATCTGCCCTAAGTGATACTTTTTGTGATGTTATATTTTACTCTAGGATTACAAAAAACAGAGAAAACCATGAACACTCACACAACACTAATGTGTTTTCTATGCTTGTGTGAGAGTTCCTTTAAAGTGGTAGCAAGAGAAAGGCAGGAAATAAATATCAGATCCATGGGTTTTGAACAGAATAGATTTTTGTTGCCAAAGAGTAATCAAGTGTTACTACACTTTCATTCTGTGCAAAGGTAGAATAGCTTCTTGAATTCATGAAATGATAAAAATGTGTTGAGCAGCTGAGTGATAGGGAAGTATAAATACCACAATGTTGGTCCAAGTTCATTGTCCCAAAGTGAAATTAAAAAGACTTAATGTGTGAGCTTTACTGTTTTGTTTTAGTTTCACCTGTTAGTACTAACGAAAATAGACCTATCAAATCAATGGGAACTTGGTATGTCAACACTTCCACGTTCCATTGATTTAATGAGTCTGGTCTGATAAAGCCTTTATTTTCTTTAAAAAAGAAAGAAGCCTTGATACATTGTTTTATCTTTTTCTATATACATTAACAATCAGCCGACATAAAATTGCCCTTGATCTTGTTTAATAGTATCTGTAAAAATATAATTATGATAACTAACAACAAAATCGATTGTATAAATGCACATGCTAAATATTCATTTGTATTCTTCTCTGTTTACAATGCACATTTGTACTTAAATGGAGGATGATCATTCATTAGAATTGATGGCAATAGAAGACCATGATTCATTAATAGAGAAAATGAACACTTGGAATTTCCAAATATTTGATCTTGTGAAAAGAATGGGAAACAAATCTCAAAGAATCCTTAGTCAGGTTTGTTGCTTTTGTGAATATGTTTCATATAATGCTGTTGTTAGTAAATGCAGTCATGGAAAATAAAAATACCTTAAGCAATTTATAATTGGAAGAATAGTACATGGGAACTTTTTGTTGTAAATAAGACCATAGTAAACATTGCTTATCAGCCTCTTGTGTTCTCTGTTTTTAGACATCCAATTTTAGTATCAAAAGTTATGTTTTCTCTCTTGTTGCATAATTACATTTAGTATGATTCTGATTGGATCTGTAAGCATTCTGTTTTTAATAAATCTATATTGGTCTTCCTCTATTAAATTTGGCATGATATCTTTCAGTCTATTCACTATAATTTTGTAATTGCATAGTGTTATTGGTCTATATGAGTTTGGTCGACCTCCTCCTTATTTGGTTTTAATATTGTTATTTATTTCTGATCTTTTCCATGACCCTGGGATTATTATTTTTGGCATTATTTCCTTAAACAGTGTTAGTAGATTTGGGGTAACTTCTAGTTGGAATATTTTATATTAAAAAAATGTGGTAAATGCATCAGGACCAGGAGATGAATTTGATTTTAAATATTTGATCTCCTCTTCTATTTCATTATTGGTTGTTTTTGTTCAGTGACAATCTATCTGAGGGTCTAATTTTTTTAGTAGTGCCTCCGGACTTTCAGTGTCCTTATTCATGTTTTTCATAATAACCTGCCATAATTTCCTTTAAATCTTCCTCCTTTGTTTCAAGTTGTCCCTTTTCTTTGCTTTAATTAATTTACTGCTCCCCTCTTTTTTAAGTATCTTGCCAGTCTGTTTGTGTTGTTAATGGAGTAAATCTGAAAGTCGTTTTTGACAAAAAAAATTTTTATAATTTTGATTTTCTCTAAATCGTCTAATTGTGTGTTTATCCCCCTCCATCATTCTTTATTTTCTTCTGTAGGGTCTTGACATATCTTTTCACCTTCCTGTTTTAATTTATCTGCCTTACCTTTTCCGTCTTTTCCATTGAGATACATTTGCCCCTTGAAAGCATCCCATATTGTATCTTCCCTTATTTCAGGTGTTCTGTTTAGTCTAAAGCAGGCATAGGCAAACTTCTTAACTTGAGGGCTACATGGTGGGCCCAAGTGGGTTGGGTGGGCTGGGAGAGAGGAGGTTCTCCCCAAGCCCCCTCCCTGCACTTTCCTCTTCTCTTTTGGAGGCAGAAGTGAAGGAAAGATGGGAAACGTTTGGATCCCAAAAGTGTTGACCTTGGTCAGGATGAGAGGGTGGACAGGATAGGAAAAAGTGTATCTATTATACCCCATATTGCCTATTCCTGACATAGAATCCTAGAGCTGGTAGAGACCCCCAAGGGCCATCCAATCTAACCCTTTGCCATACAAGAAGGCACAATCAAAGCACTCCTAATAGACAGCCTTAGCGGAAAAGCCTCCAGAGAAGGAGACTCCACCACACTCCCAGGCAGCCTGTGCAACTCTCCAACAGCTCTTACTCTCAGGAAGTTCTTCATAATCTTCTCAGTCAAATCTCTTTCCCTGCCATTTGAACCCATTGCTCCCTTGTGCCCTTGTCTCTGGAGCAGCAGAAAGTCAGTCCCCCCCCCCCCCAATGGGACACGCTTTTACATCTTGGAACATGGTTCTCATGTTCTCTCTCTACCTTCTCTTCTCCCAGCAAAACATCCCCCAGGAGGAATGGAGGAAGGAAAAAGAGAAGGAAGGGGGGGAGGGAGAGTAGGATGGAAGAGTGGAAGGAAATGGAGGGAGGGAGAAAAGAGAAGGAAGACAAAAAAGAAGGAAGGAAGGACAAAAGGGTGGATGCTAAGGAAGGGAGGGAAAGAGGAAAGAAAGAAAGAAAGAAGGAAGGAAGGAAGGAAGAATAGAATGGCAAGAGAGAGGAGGGCCTGAGAAAAGAGCCCAGAGGGTCGCATCTGACTCCCAGGTTGGGTTTTCCCATACCTGGTCTAAAGTATTGATTGATTTTCTCTTTCAATTCTTATCTATCTTCTTCTTTAAGAGAAACCAAAGGGTTAAAATTTTTTTGGAGTGTTGTATCCCAGTTTTAGAAATAAGGGTGCGTGGTCCCCTGGCCAATGATTATCCACTATTAAGTTTTTTATAGGCAATTAATTATTGTTCTCTACCAAAAATAATCTATTGTAATTATTTTTTTGTATCTGGGAGAGTAATACCTTACATGCAGTTCTGAATGGTCCTTTGATCTGTAATCAATTGATTACAATTTGATCTGTAAAATCAATTATCTGGAGTACAACTAATTATGTTATATATTTAGGTTGCATTCACGTTGTTTCAAGACACCAGTTTATTTGAAAGTTTCAAAATTCCAACTCAGCAATTCATGAACTACTTTCGAGCATTAGAAAATGGTTACCGAGACATTCCCTGTAAGTAATACCTCATAGCATTAGGCTTTTTTGTTGTTGCATCTTTTCCTTCCTTTGCACTGTTTCACCAGTATTCTGTTTAATTATGTCTGTCTGCAACAGCGATTTATAAGCATTCTTGGAATAGTGATGTGATGTATATTGTATGAAATCAATTTTATGAAAGTTAGAACACCTGATTCTTAGCATTTTTCTAGCACAGCATACCTTTTGGATGTGGCCTTAGATCAGTGGTTCTCAACCTGGGGTCCCCAGATGTTTTTGGCCTTCAACTCCCAGAAATCCCAGCTAGTTTACCATCTGTTAGGATTTCTGAGAGTTGTAGGCCAAAAACATCTGGGGACCCAAGGTTGAGAACCACTGCCTTAGATTGTCCTCCATTTTGAAATGTGTGGACACATAATTCAAATGTTACTTTGTTCCTCCCCTTTGTTAGAAGTGTTAAACAGAACCATTAGTGCATTTATTTTGAGGCAGTTTTATGGGAAGTACAGTATACATTTTTCAGATGTTGCTGAATTGCAATTCCCAGCATTCCTATCATTGACTCTGTCTGATGGAGCTGCTGGGAGTTACAGTTCAACAGTATCTGAAACTGTGCACATTTCCCACACACCTGCCCTAAAACAAACTTACTAATATCAAAATGGCAGAAGGGCTTAGGGAAGCAGAAATAAAGCAGATAACATGCGGTATAGAAATAAAGCAAATAAATAAATAAATAAATATTTTAGACTATTAGAGAATGGTTTGTAAACAAAGCAATTAATGACAAAATGGCTTTGGAATGTAAATTTGAAGTTCTGTCTCTTCCATTTGTAATATTATGTTCCACTTGTCTCTGCCTGAGAAAGGAGATTATTTAGCTGTAAAGATACAGAAAGGGGAAATACATATGCTAATAATAATAATAATAATAATAATAATAATAATAATAATAATACATATTGTGTTAAAAAACAAAGTATGAATCGTCAATGTCACAATCCCAGGTGACAGCAGGATTGAAGAGAAACAACTGGAAAAGCTGACACGATATGAGGATTTAAAGATCAAACTGCAAAGACTTTGGCACAAGCCAGTAAAGGTGGTCCCAGTGGTGATCGGCACACTGGGTGCAGTGCCTAAAGACCTTGGCCTGCACTTAAACACAATTGGCGCTGACAAAATTACCATCTGCCAGCTGCAGAAGGCCACCTAACTGGGATCTGCACGCATTATTCACCGATACATCACACAGTCCTAGACACTTGGGAAGTGTCCGACGTGTGAGCCAATACAACAGCCAGCAAAATGTCTGCTGTGGACTCAGCTTGTTGTGTTTCAAATAATAATAATAAAAATAATAATAATAATAATAAATATTATTATCATTATTATTATTATCATTATTTCTACCCCACCACCATCTCCCTGAAGGGACTTGAGGCAGCTAACAAAATACAGCAAAGTTCCGCATATAGACAATATATAAATCTAAAACATAAAACCTTAGGGTTACAATCACGCACATACATAATTACAAAATGGCTCTCCATTCCTTGCAGTCAGGGGTGCTTTGAGTGTTTTTTTCCTGCATGGTTGAATGTAGTTGGACTGGATGCTCTTGTGTTCTCTTCCAACTTGAGTCCCCATGGGGAGAAAGGTGGGGATATAAATAAAGTAAATAGATAATAAAAACTGATTCTATGATTCTATCAATCCCCATGGGTGCCGGTTAGTTGAGAGTCTACTGTAATATGATGAATTGCATTTCTGAATAGTTGTTTTATTTTGATGGCAAGCAGGAAATCCAGCCATTTGCTGATGAAGAAAAAATATGTCTTTCCTCTTGAATTAGTGGTTTATCACTGCTTCTGAACACTGTTTTCTTTATTCTTTTATCTCAACCCACCCTTTCTCATTGACTTTGTTGTCTTGTAATTTTCCAGTCATAACTTTTCTTCCTATTTAGTTCTCTAACACCGAATCTTTCTGCCTCTGCCCAGCTACCCACCCACATCCTGCAATTCAGCTAGCAATTTATAATCCTTTCTGTTCTAGGATATCATTTAATTTCCTCTCAAAGAGAGCTCAGCCATAGATTTATAGTAGAATAGCTTGCAAACAGATAGTAGCTGACAGTAGATTTTAGTTTGTTAAAATAATGCTTGCATTTATTTTTATAAATTGATTTTAGACCACAATCGAATACATGCCACAGATGTTCTTCATGCTGTGTGGTATCTTACAACAAGACCTATTCCTGGATTTCAGCAAATACACAGTGGTGCTATGACAGCAGCTGACAGTGGTATGTGGTTGATATGGTTCTCCGTTTTTACACAAAGACGTTAATGCCAATAAAATAAAATTGATATATGTCATATATTTTTTTAAGTGTGTTTCTTTTCTTACATGAAGGTTTCATGTTTGAAAGATAAAACAGTTGGTGTCATTTACAAGCAGTGTGTGTCTGGTTTTAAGATAATTGATTGAATAATTGCAGACATGCTTTTCTTTCCTGCCAAGGAATCGGTTTCACTGAGATCTCTTCTCCTGAATGAGACCCATATCTTCTTGCAGGAGTCAGCATGTTTCTAGCAACTAAAATACATTAGGCTAATATTTCTTTATTTAATTAGGAAATGAAACATCTTAGACTAAAAATATCTAAGATTAAACTTAATTAGAACTTTTTTTTAATTTTAGTGTGGAAGTGAAATAGTCTTGGACATTCAATATTCTCTCAAATTAATATACCTATCTTAAAATTTGGTTAAGCCCATTGTGAATTTGATGATATTGCTTTGTATTACAGAAACGAAAAAGTGGTTTGAATCCTATTGGTCATCTTAGTTAGAGAAGCTCCAATTAGAATAGATCTGTTGAATGGTGAATCATCACTTACTTAGATCTAAGATACTGCTTCTTAAACTGTCAATTCTGACCCCAAATGGGATACCTTTAATGTTGAGGGTTACAAAAAAAAGTGGCAACTGCTTTGAGTCCCCCCAGGGGTGAGAAAGGCGGTATATAAATACTGTAAATAAACAAACAGTAAAAGGTTTCAAAATGTCATTTATTTATTTACTATATTTATATACTTCCCCTGTCAGCCCAGGGGCGACTCGGAGTCAACCTTTTACACAATCTGTCAGCAACAACACATAGTGTTTATAGTGGTTTCTGCAGAAAATTCTTCAGCTGTACTGCACAAAAAGGAAAATAAGCCTATTTAGCAAGCTCAAAAATGTTTCTGCTGATAAATGAAGGGAGTCCTTCCAATCCAGTGAAATATGTTGGCTGGTAGATAAGCCTTGAAAAATCACTAATGTTGAATGTTCTCAAAATGTTATTTTCATGTTTATTTTTCCCTAGATACAGAAAATGGTATTTTAGCTGGCCATGTTTCCTATGTTTCCTCCAAGAGCTGCCCAATTCTTGATGAAAACTATGGATGCTTAGCTTCAAACATTCCAGCCTTAGAATTAATGGCTTTGTATGTAGCAGCAGCTATGCATGATTATGACCATCCTGGTCGTACAAATGCTTTTTTGGTAGCTACAAATGCTCCTCAGGTAGGAGGATTTACAATAATTTACAATGAGACAAAAAATACCAAAACTGATGCATGAATGTCCCATTCAGTTCTAAACATATACAGTCAAAGGTATTGATGTTTGTCAACCAATATCTAGTGGATTCAGTAATTACTTGTGTTCAGAGATTGTATTTTAGACTTTTCAGCATGACTTCATATATAAAAGCAAAGCAATGTAACATTTTAATTTTCAGTTAACACAAAAGTATTTTTATTTGAAAATTAATTATGTTTTATGAATTGGTTTTATGTATTGGTGAATTTTCAATCATAATACCATTTGTTATGTAATTTTTTACAGGCTGTGTTATATAATGACAGATCAGTTCTGGAAAATCATCATGCAGCTTCTGCATGGAGCCTCTTTTTATCTCAACCAGAATACAACTTCCTGCCTGATCTTGATCATGTACAATTCAAACGATTTCGATTCTTAGTTATTGAAGCAATCCTTGCAACAGACCTCAAGAAACATTTTGATTTCCTTGCAGAATTTAATGCCAAGGTTTGTTACACATGTTTATCTGCACTGTAATGTCAGCTACATAACATATATTTATCTCAATACGGTATATTGTAATAACATTTGGCAGATTTAGAATTACCATTCTAAATACTCAAAAGATCCTGTCTGATCTTAGAAACTGAGCAGTGTCAGCTCTGGTTAGTTCTTAAATAAGAGATTTTCACTGAATACCAAGGGTTCTAGGCTGTATTTCAGAGAAAGAAACTGGCAAAACCACCTCTGCATACACCACTGAGTATCCCTCATGTAAAAAAAACCTCTACAAAATTAATGGGGTCACAATAAGTCAAGAGGCAACTGAAAGCATAAAAAAACACATTTCCAAATTGGACCATCATACATTTATTTGATCTTCTGTAAGTCTTCAGATTATATTATGAACACTACAATAAGATAAAACTAACAAAATTACAAACTACTCAACACATGCTGTTGTTTCACAGTGGAACAGAGGCCAAGTGATTGCTCTTAACTCAAAAAGCTCTTAAGTTGGGATGCACTTAAGTTGAGGTTCCACTGTATATTTTTTCTTAAATAATAACTCAGAGTAAATTTTAAGGATTTAGCCCAGACCCTTTTCCTTTTCATTGGTATGTATATGAGTACCAGCATTTTATGCTCTTTGTATAATACATTATTTGACTTGTTTTTCTGTTTTCATTCTTAACAACATGTTGTACTTTTTACCCTTTTCCCAATAGGTTAATGATATAAATGGTCATAGTATTGAGTGGAGCAGTGAGAGTGATCGGCTATTAGTGTGTCAGATATGCATCAAGCTGGCAGATATCAATGGTCCAGCAAAAGTTAGAGATTTACATTTGAAATGGACAGAGGGTATTGTGAATGAGTTTTATGAACAGGTAAGCCCTTTGTATTGTACAAAACTTTTAAAATCACCTGTTTATCAATAGGTTGATGGTTAAATTAGTTCAAGAAAACATGCAGACAATCCTATACACCAGGCAAGGGCAGACATCAGCCCTTCAGATGTTTTGGTCTTTAACTCCCACAATTCCTATCAGCGGGAAAGCTGACTGGGATTTTTTGGGAGTTGACGTCCAAAGCACCCGGAGGGCCAGAGTTTGCCCATGTGTGCTATATACCCTCAGGGAATCTGTCAAGCTAAGGGGATACTTAAATACTTTGTTAGATCAGTGTTCCTTCTGTAAATGGAAGGAGTTGCTGGAAGAACCAGACCATCCAATTCTGATTTGGCTCAACTTTGCATAAGTAGATGTGCATGTTGGTATGTCTCCATAGATACAGTGTATAGCATAAAGATCTCCCATATCTCAAGGCACTGTGGGCTGTAGTGGGGGTAGAGAGGTGGGGTGGGTCTAATTTGGCAGGTTAGGCTCTGCCATTTTTAGTACCTATCATGACGTGGACTGGTGAACATTGGGGCTTTATTGTTCAAGCCTATTAAGAGAACAGTCATTCTGTGATAATGATGCAGAGAGCTCCATGCACAGTCAAAATGCATCTATACCAAATAGGAAAATTATTTTGCTATGGATTTGTAATCTTCAGGCAACTGTATCCACACTGAAAAGAAAATCCCTGGCACACCTAGGACCATTAGAATACCAGAAAATGTGGAAGCAGTAAGAGCATCCACTTGGCAATCACCAAGGTGTTCTCCTAAGCATAATAATAATAATAATAATAATAATAATAATAATAATAATAATAACCAACTTTATTTGTACCCTGCCACCATCTCCCCAATGGGGACTCGGAGCAGCTTACATGGGGCCAAGCCCAAACAACAATTACGATAAAGAACGACTGAATGCAAACCGAAAACGCAACCAATAAACAACATAATTACATAAAACATAGGATTATACAGCAATATAAAATTACAATAAACACAAACACAGTGACAATGGGCGGGCTATGTGTAATGGTTAAAAGAACTAATTAAAATTGGTTAAAAACTCGGGTGAGATAAAAGGGAAACAAATTATTTGTGGAGGAGGGCTCATTATAGTGGGGATGTGGAATCAAACTTTCCCACAAGGGGGGAAACGTGTACTTCAGTGACAGAACATTACACATGAGGGATAATGTGGGATTGAATACCTATTCACCAAATACCAAGCATGCCATGGTATGGGGGATATCAAGTCAGAGTTTGAGGAAGATTCTGCATACCAATTTAAAACTGCATCCTTACAAAATTGTTTGACTTTTAAAACCCATTAAAACCTGTTTTTATGTACTTTTCAGGAATAGATACTTTGTTCTGGATAGCTTTGTTTCATATTTATACCCCTTTATACTCCACCCTTTATATCTCCTAATGTTATTCTGAACTCACGTTGTGTGGTGATAACTATTGGACATTGAAAGTTGCATGTTGTCAAAATCTTTAATTGAAAAATTCAGTACTCTACATGAAATATTTTAGAACCACTAACAGAATGATATGGAAAATAGACCGCCGCAACCTTGATATTCTACAATACCTACAGTATCTTCCACTGAAAAGTCTCTCTGGAATATGAGTGACACATGTGCTAAATTATTTTAGCTGATGGAGTAATGATTTCTGTATGCTGTAAAAAAAGTCTCTGTGAGGAGTAGAAATGCTGTGTGGACTTTTAAAGGACTGCCAGGAATGTCCATAAATAGTTTGCTCAGCTTTTCTACTGTTACGAAAGATTTTTATTTACAGCATATAGACAGTATTGTCCCATCAGCTAAAATAATTCAGTAAATGTGCCACTCATATCCCAGAGAGACTTCTCAATGGAAGATGTTGCAGCTGTTGAATATAGAGGTTGTGGATGCTGGTTTTCAGTCAGTTTTCTTTTTGATCTAATATTGGTTATTCATTTAAATTTTAAAGTTCAAGACTTTCACAACATATTTTTCAGTGCACCATAACTATCACTTTCTACCAGTTTAGACCATAGCATCTGAACCCTCATACAACATATTAAGCCCATCAGTAATCAGTTAGCTTCTGATACTCCATCATAAGTATTAGGAAAGTATAGGGGCTGCAGTGGAGTCTTAAAGGAGATGCCTGCTGTGTGTTCTTGATGAAATTATATAAAACTAGAAATAGTAATATGTTTTTTTGTTCTGTACTTCTTTCTTAAAATGTTGGTTATTGGTTTTTGTTTTATATGCTAGCCTTACAAAACATAACATGAGTATCTAGTCAAATCTAAATGTCATATTCTGATGACCTTTCAGGGAGATGAAGAGGCAAGTTTGGGATTACCCATAAGCCCTTTTATGGATCGACATTCTCCTCAGCTTGCAAAATTACAAGAATCTTTTATTACTCATATTGTTGGTCCCCTCTGTAATTCCTATGATGCAGCTGGGTTGCTTCCTGGCCAGTGGATTGATGAAAAAGATGATAATGAAAGTTCTGATGAATATGATGCAGAAGAATTGGATAGTGAAGACGACGAAATTGGTGACTTTGGCACAAGTAAGATTAAATGCTTATTTGAAATAGCATGCAGAACTTTAAATCCATTTTGATTTACATACTCATAGAAATAATTGTTTATTTTCCCTTTTTGTGACATTTTTATACTATTTATATATTGCACTGGACTGACCTTGAGGGAGCTGGGGGTGGTAACGGCCGACAGGGAGCTCTGGCGTGTGCTGGTCCATGAGGTCACGAAGAGTCGGAGACGACTGAACGAATGAACAACAACAACATATATTGCAAAGGTTCCAAAGTGGTTTATTGTGCTAGTGTTAGAAACAAAAGACATAAAGCAGTGTTGATAAAACAAATATTCATTTAAAATCAACAAGTATAATTGGTTTGGAATCAGGAAAATGTTAGGAAAATATATAAATCTTCACTTACATTCTTCACTGAGTATCTGGCAGTGTAGACCCATATAATCCAGTTTAAAGCAGAAAACCTGAGATCAGATCCTGGAATATAGGGCCTGTCTCGAAGGGTTCATAGAAGATGATCTCATTGATAAATTTATTCTGGGATATTTTTAATCTTAAAACCAATTTTGAATTAGCTGCAAATCTGGCTTTGTAGCTAATTGGCAATTTTTTATTCTGTAATACTATTTTAAACCAGATTTTTTTTATTACTAGACCTATCTGAATGGGGCTCCAAGAACACTTGCATTAATAATTTTGGCTGATCAAAAGCATAGTCCAGTCACCCAGATAGCTGAAGGCCACCTAAAGCTATGTTGACTGCAAAACATGCTCAACCTAGTAGTATGATCTAACTTTGCACCAACACAATGGAATTGTTCCTGGGATGTGGAAGTTTGATTCTGATGAAATATGGCTCCTTCCATGCTCCCCTCCCTTCTTAGCTTTTCTACAAGTTCATATCAACCAATAGAGCAGCTCTTCCAATATATCCCTCTGCTGGCTGATCACTGCGATCATCTGGCAGAAGGGGGTTATGCTGGATAAGGCCAGTTCATCTGACAAAGTTTGTGTTTAGCAAGAAGGATCTCTGAGCTATGTAGAGCCTATAGTAGCTTGGAGAGTTGGGAAAAAATATTCAGAAGTATTTAGCATACAAGCTATCCAATGCGTACATATGTATAGCTAGAATTACATTTTTAAAATGTACCTGTATGGACTTACAAATAAATTCAACTTAAGAACCTACAGAACCTACCTTGTTCATAACTTGAGGAATACCTGTAAAATGAATTATAAAGTAAGGATTACTGTTCTTTCAAGTTCCAGCAGTAGTGCCCTACAGTAATGCTATTTCTCTGTAGCATTCCCCCAAATTCCACCTACTGTTATACTTTCTGGAGTACTATTAGCCTTGCAGAGAAGCCATGTATCTCATAAAGAATATCTTATTATCAAAACAGAGTTGGCAAAACATGGCTCTGAGCCTGTATAAGCACCTCACATATTTTGTTTTGTTGCCTTTGTCCTCTCAAGATTTTCCAGATTCTGGCAGAAAAGGTGAATTCCTACTGCTGGAAGCTTTCAGGAGTAGCAATTCCCTTCTTATTTAGGTTGCAAGGAACCCCTGCATTGTTCACCTCCCTCCCTCCCAGCCCCTTCTGAAATCTAAAAGTAAACTCCCAAACACTTGCACATGTTGTGTTTGTGGGAAATTAGCCACAGACTTAGGGCAGCTGCTCACTCTAGAAAGGAAGAGGGAGCTTGGCCTTGAGTGGTGGAAATGATACCTGCAGCTACTCCAGAAATAATGGTATTTGAACCAGTTAAGGTTAATGTTGGAATTTGAAAAAGTAACAACATAATCCTCGTTCAAAATATAATATGAGCAATGTTATTTAGCTATTACTTCCAAAGCCTTTTAAAAAGCAATGTTAAAACCAGTTCCATATAGTACGTGTTTACTGTTTCATACTTTTATTATTGTATTGCTTTTCTAAATAGAAAAAAAGTTTCATATTTGTTTAGGCCTAGATTTTCGAAACTGAGTTTTTCTTCCATTTTGCAGAGCTACAAAGAAGAAAAAGACGGCGGATATTTTGTCAACTAATACACCATTTGAATGAAAATCACAAGATATGGAAGAAGATAGTTGAAGAAGAAGAAGAACTAAATAAATCAGAAGAGAGTAAGCAGGCAGAGAATACATCCTTAGGTCAATCAGATGAAATTCAGGTTATCGAGGAAGCCGATGAAGAAGAGGAACACCATCAGGGGGAAGAGAACACTTTTTAAGAACTCAGTATGGTAAATATCACCAATCCAGACAGTATACAGTCTTTAGATTGAGATAGTTGACAGGACAGATTGGAATACTGTGAAAAGACAACTATTTCTCTAGCAGCATCCTGCTCCTTTGCACTTTCACCTTATGCAAGGATGTTGTGCCCAATTTGGTCTTCAATTGCCTTGTTTTCTGCCTTGCTGAAAATAGCTGATTATTATCAAAGTGGTATTTTGACGTCAAATTCAGTAGCATCAGTTACCAAAGTTATCAAAACATTTTGTTTCTAACAGCATATTAAGTCTTTAAAATGTTTTGGAATATGTATTTTATTTTTAATGTGAATCTAAAAATTGCCTTGCCTATTGCAAAATTGCCGATAGAATTCACAAGTTTATTAACAGTTTTCTTAATACAATTATTTTGGGTTGATTTAACCATTTTATGACTGCAACCAGAATAGCTTATTTCTGGGTTTTGTGGTTAAAATTGAATCCTGTATGCATCAGTTTGATGCTTTTTACTGTGATGCATAACCTGCCATTTTATTTTTCTGAAAATGTTCAGGTTTGCAGTGGGTATCCAGACTAGTTTGCTAAATGTACACCAGTTGCCTTTTTTCTTGCTGTTCTGTAATAGAACATAAAAAGCCATCTCACTGTTTAAATAATTAAGGGACTTTATTCTTTTAGCTACTTATAAATGTGTTTTACTCAGGATTCATGTTTAGAAACATGGCATCAGATTTTATATTTACAACCTTGTGTTAGTGCTCAATGTTCATTTTAAAGTATACTACTTTTCTCTTTATATGTAAACTTCAAAAGAATTAAAGGATTGTTTTCTATAAACTGTTCTTCCAAACTCTGTTTTATCTTAGTTTACAAAACACCTGACACATGAAATATATCTTGACAGTAATTTCACACATTCTTTTTGCCTAGAATATACAGGAGTGATCATTAAATTAACTTTGCTTTCCATAGACTGTTATGGTCATTTCAAATTCACATGATACACAGAAGTGTTGCGAGCAGTTTTCTTTGTTCCTTCATTGTGTAATGGATTGCAGTTCACTTAGTTCATTGGGTTGCTGTGAGTTTTCCGGGCTGTATCACCATGTTCCAAAAGCATTCTCTCCTGATGTTTCACCCACATCTATAGCAGGCATCCTCAGAAGGTCTGTTGGAAACTAGGCAGGTGAGGTTTATATATCTGTGGAATGTCTAGGGTGGGAGAAAGAACTCCTGTCTGTTGGAAGCAGGTATGAATGTTGCAATTAGCCACTTAGTTCATGTTTATTTTGGCCCTTAGATGACATAAACACAATTTATTAAATTAACAATTGCATGATTTAAAAAAACTAAATAGAGAATGCAGAATCTCTCCCTGGTTTCATAATCTGCCAGGCGTGGTGGAATCTTTAACCAATCGTCTCCTGTTCTTGGCTCTTCCAAACTGCTATTAACAATCTAAACAAGCTAGTGCAGAGATCTTTGTCCATGCTTTTTGGTGAAATTGACCCTGCTTCATCCACTCACAGTAATCATTTGTTGATTATATAGGCTGGATGGCTAAGACACTTTATTTGCTGTTTAAAAACCCCAAAACACAGATAAATCGTCCAGTCTTTCAGAGGGTTCACACATTGTTCCTACTCCATACCTATGTTGCCTTGCCTTCTGCAGGTTATACGCAACTCTTGTATGATGCCATGATTGATTCTTCCCATGTCCAAGAAAAGACATTATACAATATTGTATTTTTTGGAGCTGACATCTAGAGTCCAACTCAAGTCATAGTTAACACAACCCCATCCAGGGCCTTCCAGAAGACCCTCTCTATACCCATGGATAAGGAGACTAAGAAGTTGGATGCCAGAGAAAGAAAATTTTCTTACATTGACCAGATGTACTATATCAGTGGTTCCTCAGGTTTTGGGACTACAACTCCCAGAAATCCCAGCCAGTTTACCAGCTGTTAGGATTTCTGGGAGTTAAAGGCCAAAACATCTGGGGACCCACAGGTTGAGAACCACTGTGCTAGATATTTCACTATGCAATATTAATGGAGAGAGGAGTATATCAACCATTCCTATGGGATAAGAAGACCCCTTACCTTAATAGGCCCTCTGAGGAAGACTATAAGGTTGCTGTGGCACTTCAGATGAAAGCGCATAAAGTGGCACTGCAACGGATTACCACCTCTTGTCGTGCTGTCAATTATAACAGAAAGACACTTGCTGGTGCAGTTGAAATGTGAAGACATGCATGGTTGAGATCACAAATTGTCCAAGTAAGTTTGGCCCACAATTGAGGACCTCCTTTTTCACGAAGAAGTTTACCTATTGCTTGCACATATAACAGGTTCAAGGACCCCCAGAAGATGCACCACACTGCTTAAAAAAATGGTTCCAATCCCCCCCCCCCCCCCCCCCCAAACAATTATCTTGCCAAAAGATTGTCTTGGAACAAGTATGATTCGGTATCTAAATACCAATATAGTCCTGAATCTGGATGTCAACAAAGGCTGTTCTAGCTGCATCTTCATCTTCTAAGAAGTCTTATATGATCTCTAGGCTCAAATCACAACTCCAGCAGGATTCGTCGACTCTTTGACTTCTACAATGACTGCCTTCCTACAAGCCTACTTCCATTGAATATATCACCTTTCATGACAATTTTTTTATGGGCAGCTGACATACTTCAGGAATAGTTTTGTTATTCTTTTAGGTGATTGTAAATCAGGGAAAGATTAGAACTGTGAATGTATTTATTTTTAAGGATTGTGCTTTGTGGTTTAGTGCAAACATAATATTTGATTTGAAGGGAAAATTGTCAGAACATTTAACTAGCTTGGGCTCCTGTTGTCATCTACTTAAAGGATTCACACAACAGTAAGTGGTCACTGAATTGCTATCTCTTAACAGTGGTTCTCAATCTGTGAGTCCTTGGATGTTTTGGCCTATAACTCCCAGAAATCCCAGCCAGTTTACCAGCTGTTAGGATTTCTGGGAGTTGAAGGCCAAAACATCTGGGGGCCCACTGGTTGAGAACCACTGTCTTAACATAGGTCTGTCATTTTTATTAGTTTTTCCAATCAGTTAAAACGTGTTGCCAAATAATTTCTAATATCAGTCAATGTTGCTTAATCTGTATTTCAAAGTACAGCATTGCTCAGCTGGACTAGAAACTAGAGTTTGGAGAATGCAGTCTGTTATGGAGTTAATTCCTAAAACACTGCTGCAAATGAATAGATTTTAAAACAGCATAAAATATCCTTTCCTGAGAAAACATGAACTGATGTTCAATAGCAAGTCTAGCTTTTGCTAGTGATATAAAAGAGTCATAAAGCTCGTCACTGATTTTGTAAATTGGAATATTAAATACCAAAAGGAGGAAAAGAAGGGAGGAAGAAGGAGAGAACGGAAGGATGGATGAATGCATGAAGGAATGGTGGTACAGTTCCGATAGCTTTACTAACAGTATTCAAGTAGAAAAAAATGACAAATGCATGTGAGAATCAGCTTTATATTTAAGCTGAAGGATACTGAATATGGTGGTGCTTTATTATAGTTTTGTGCCTTCAAGTCATTTCTAACTTATGGTGACCATATCACAGGTTTTTTGTTTTTGTTTGTTTAATTAAGGACTGACCACTTCCTCCACATTCGGAAGGATGCCTATTAGTTGGGATTGCTTTTATTGTGTGTTCTACATGGCAGAGTTGGACTGGATAGCCCTTGTAATCTCTTCCAAATTTATAATTATTATTCTGATTCTAAATCAGTAAAGATGTTTGTCCCCAGAGTCTTTTTACTACTTTGCAAAAAATACAGATATATATGTTAAAACGTTGCTTTACTAAATTAATCAGCGATATCAACAGGTTACATTCGAAATCAATTTCCAGTTCAAATATTCCAAAGACATGATCTGATTCGGCCAAATCTTTTTCATGAAAACCCTTTAGGGGAAGACTATTATATTCATGAAAGAATAAACGTTAAGAATCTAGACTAATAATACTTTGAAAAAATTTGCCACAATGCAGTGTGTATTTTAGAAAGCCCCCCTACTACTCACCTTGTAATTTCCCTGTGTTCCAGGGATTTTGCCAAGAGACAGAATGACTCAGACACTTGACTCATCCCCTCTGATCAGCGCTATCCTCAGAATCACTTACTGTGCTAGATGAGATCAGGAAGTACATTGACTCTCCATCAATATCATCAAAAGAAGGTGGAGCCAAAAGCATGTTTGTACAAGCAAGCCAGACTGAAATAATTGTGTTAATTTATCCTTTATTGTGTGGAACAGGAAAACACTTACCTTCATTTGAAGGAAATAGAACTTCATTATCTCAGGATAAAAAAATTGTCTCCCCATTCTTCTGATCTTTGTAGCATAAAAGGAGTTGCTGTGGACACTCTTGGTTTTTTTTTATTAACAGGTTCAGAAAGTAAATAGAAGTGGAATACATTTATTACCCTGCAGTTTTGCTCAAAAGGATCTTGCTCAAAGGATTACAGATGCATACACCTACACCTAACTCAGAATAATCTGTTCCTGTTCAATGGGTGTGTTGTTTAATTCAACTCTGACGTATAGCTACTGTCTCATGTTTTTTGGCAAGATTCGTTCAGAGGAAGTTTGTCACTACCTTCCTCTAAATAGAGTGTTACATGCCCAAGGTCAATCAATCCGTTTCCATAGCTGAGTGTCTTCTGGAAGCCTACTCCAACACTCAAACCACTGTACCCTATTGAAGCAGATACAAGTTTAAATTCAAGGAAGTGCCCATATATTTAAGTGGTAGATAAACCCCAATAAGAGAAGATGACCCTTTCCTGGGTGGCATTTACAAGTTCTACCTGGAGCTTTTCTATGAAATGTTTAGTTCTACAACAATGCTTGTTCTCCATTCTATAACTGTGTATGTATTGATAATTACTTTTTACTTGTTTGACACCTCTAAATATGCTTGGCTTCAGTTCCAATATATTATAGGGGTTATCTACATTACACAGTTAATGCGCTTCGACACCACTTTAACTGTTGAGGAATCATTAAATACGATTCCAGGAATAGCTGACATAAGGAGGGAGATAAATCTCTTGGATGAAAAATACAGATAGTTGGGGATGAAATCTATGGTCATATCTTTGCCTTTGGGCTGTTAAAGAAAAGTCATTATTTCTTCCCTGGCACAACACCAATAGAGAATGACATAGTAGCCTTACGGGTTCATGAAACAACCCACTGACTTTATTTACATCAGCATATGGTATTATGAACATAGCCGTGCTTGCAATCCATATGTGTATATGTGCAGGGAAGAGCACATAGCAAGCCTTCTTTGCATTGGATGAAGCAAAAGTTATCTGTCCGTTAATGTTTTGTTCTATTAATGTGTTCCATTATTTTAATGGGCCCAAGCTCACTCAGGGAAAATTGCTGGCATGGTGAGGTTATAGTCTGGATGTTAGCCAAAATGTTTCTTCTCTTTCTTCACATCTGCCATTTTTAATACTATTATCATGACAGGAGGAAAGCTTTTAAAAATGAAACCTGTACTACAAAAATCCAGGATGTTGATACTCCTTATGTTCTGCTTCAAAATTGATGGAAATAGAATAATGGTTGGGATGTTATAAAAAGTAAACCCCATTAGAAGTTTACAAGCCCATCTTTGCTGTTTTATCCTCTTTAGGCTAATAGTGCTTGGATTTTGATTCCTATGCAGTTATGTTTCCAAGAATTAGCTAATGAAGTTTTAAAAAAAACATGCAATGTTTCCTTCCTTCCCAAACTCAAATCAGGGATCTGGGAATGAAAAAACCATGCACATGATTTTTTAAACCTTCATTCCAGCAATGTTTTAATATAACTACATAACTTTAAATGTGACCTTAAAAATAACATAAGTGTTATCAATGTAAGTAAATGTGATGAATTTTAAGTGCTTTTAAAATGCCCCCCCCCCCCCCCCAGCCTAAGTGCAATATTGGCACTTTTTACTAATTTGACAATCTCTGGTCCAAACTTGCTTAACAGTGTTCTGCTCATACCAGAGAAAGAAGAAAGTCATTTTTTCTTCCCCTTCTGTGCAGATTTTCTATAAATGTAATTGTCACTGGGAAACAATCAAACAAACTTATCTTGAGGGCTCCAGTGCACCATATTTGGCAAGATCTGGTTGGTGACCCCAGGGGGTAATACTAAAATGGGGAGAGACACTTCTTCAGGTAACTGGCTACCAAGACATTTAGGATTTTAAAAGGTAAATCCAGCACTTTGAATTCCCAGTCCAGATGACAAAATACAAATGGCGTAATGTAAGAAACTGGGCTATTTCCCATTAACCATGAATTAGCTGAAGTTCCAAGACCATCAAATATTGAAATATCTCCAAAAAGGCAAATATTCAACAATATTTGAAAGGCTACAAAATTCCCACTCTGAGATGAAAACTCTTGACAAGGCTGAAGTAGGTATAGATCATCCTCAACTGATAAAACATGTCTTTTGCCATCACATGTGCTCTAGAATGGTGAGTGGAATCCCTTAACTATAAACCTGATTCTTCAGGGCATAGGTAGGCAATAGTACCCTTTGATATATTGCTGGCTGACAACTTTCAATTAATCCTTCCATTCAAATCCACAAGGCAAGTTCCAGTGGTGAGCAGTGCTTAAGACAAGCTAAGGCCATTCCTGTTCCAGGATAACCGGACAACAGTAACTCAACAGTAACTCAAGCTCCAATAGCTGTCTTTTATTGGGCAACTACATTGCTTTTTGTATGCGGCTTTCCTTAGAAGACTGCAAAAGCTGCAGCTGATTGCTGTTGCTCCTACTTAAAATAAGATTCAGAAGTAACCACATGGGACATCCAGTCCAACCCCCTGCCATGCAGGAAAAATACAAAGGACTCCCAACAGATGGCCATCCAGCCTCTGTTTAAAAGCCTTAAAAGAAGGAGCTTCCATCACACTCCAAGGCAGTGAGTTTCATTGTTTAACAAACAGCTCTTACGGTCTGCAAGTGCTTCCTAATTATTTTCTGAATGAGACTGGGAGTGGCTTATGTATACATTAAAGCATCTAAAACCGTACGTAGTATATATATATTTAAGTATGAACACATCGATTGAAAACTACTTTTACAAGATTAATGTAAAACAGAGTTAAAAATATGAAATAATATTACATATTCAAAAAAGCACAAATAACTGCATGTCCCTCAATCCAGATCAGTTAAGGATGATGGCCTATTTAAACCAGAAGGTCTTTGTCTGCTGGTGAAAAGACAGCAAACAAGAGTTAATCAAGCTTCCCATGGGAAGACATTCCATAGCCTAGAGACAGACGCTGAGAAGGCTCTCTCATGTCCTCACCAAGCAAGTCTGGTAGAAAGATGGGGTAGAAAAAAAGCACTCTCATAAATGTAGGTTCATATGGGAATCCAGGAGCTTTCTGATAGTCTGGACCTGAGCTATATGGGACTTTATAGGTTTCCAAATTCTGCCCAGAAGCTAACCAGTAGGCAGTTACGCTGTTTCAATAAGGGAGTGATATGTCCCTAAAACCAACCCGGTAGCAGTCTAGTCACAGCTTTTTTGACCTGCTGAAGTTTCTATACAGTTCCCAAAGGCAGTTATGTAATAAGGGAATGTGTTACCATGGTCAGATCTAGGGAAGACTTCCTTTCCCAGTACTAAGTATTTTAAATCACTTTGTGTCTGTACACTACCATGAGATTGCATTGCTTGCAACTATTACTATTATTTCAATAATAATAAATAAAAATACAGCAGCCACAGAGTTGAAATGTTATTCTTTACAAAAGGAGTTCAGTTATCATAAGACAACAGGAAAGAGTCCAAGGCAGTCACCCCTTGGAAAACACTTGCTATGTCATAATATTTGGGGCTTTTTAGCTTAGACTGGGATGCAGAGGAAAAAATACAACAGAGGTATATATAATTAATTACCCATAGTATAGAGAAACCGGATAGCAATTGATTTTTTCCCTCCCCTAATACTAGAGCTCAGGACATTCAATGAAGCTGAATGGTGAGAGATTCAGGTAAGACAAAAAGGACTTCACATAGTTCATTATTAAAATTTGGAATTCACTGCAATACATTTTGTCCAGTGCTGGTAATAATACAACAGATAGAGGCACATTATATTATTTGCATTTAATCAATACAAAACAAAAAATGCATATGAAAGAAAAAAGGAAGCAACAAACACAGATCCAAATATTTTATACAATATTATTGTATGGAAATCTATTGTGTTATTCTTATTGCTAAAGAAAACATTACCTTTGCTTCTGAACAAGTATTTCTACAGGTTGAGTCTCTCTCATCCAGAAATCTGATATGGTTCAAGATATGAAACATTTTGCTGCTAACTACCCACTTCCACCTTTGGGGAAAGGGCTAGTCACATGTTTAGCACTCACTTGCAGTGGCACATGGCAGGGTGGGACCACAGAGCAACCCCACTGGCGAAGTCTTGTGCAGGAAAATACAAATACTAAATCCTGTCCTCTAATCCCACATCCACTATGTATATGCAGATGCAAGTATTCCAAAAACCAAAAAAGTGCAAAATCAAAAAATGTATGGTACCAAGCATTTTGTACAAAGGACATTCTGTAGCAAGAAGGTTCAGAATATCTTTGTTATTACATTTTAAATATGCCATTGTGGTATTCCAGTTTCTGGAAATATCAAGATGTGCATTGCCAATCAAACACAGAAATAACTACATCTGCATTTTCAACAAGAGTGCTAATTTAAAAGAAAACAAGCTAGTTTGAAACATAGTTGTGTACCAACACATAGGACACCCACTAATGTGGCCCAAGTAAGATCCCAATCATGAGAGCCACAGAGGCTTCATAAAGAACAGTGGTTCCCAACCTTTTTTTTTTTTACCAGGGACCACTTTGACCAGGGACCACTCTCCAACATTTGTACCAAAAGGATTGCAAATGAATTTTTAGTCAACTTTAGATTTGGTTTGGTTATTTGGGGTGCTGATTCAGAAATTGCATTAGATAGACCACACCAGCTCTAGTTTCTGGTACAAAACATATGCAATTCAGTAGTTGTCATCTGCTCGCCCAAGGAAAACAATATTTAATAATCTAGAGCTGATGCAATTTTCTGAATCAGCACCCCAAACAACCCCAGGAACAGGCCTAAAAATGAAGGCACCAAGGCAGGGGAACGGAGAAAGAGGTGAAACAGTTGTCAGGAGGCTTGTTGTCATACCTTTTGTGGGTAGTCATCATCTCCTCTGCCGACAACCCTATTGCCTCGGCACTATAAGAGGGTTTTGTGAGACAACTCTCATTGCAATGCTGTAGCAACAATGAGGACATGGACCACATTTTAGTTCTTGGGGACCACTGGTGGTCCACAGACCACAGGTTGGGAACCACTAATATAGAACACAGCATTTCTATTTAGTTAGTAAACAAAATTAAACAGAAAGTAAGCTATCAAGATTAGAGCTGACTGAGGGAGTGGTACCAAAAGAGAAGTTATTTTGGAAAATAGAGCAACTATGAGACTAATGACCATGTTACATTTTTTCTGCTAGGACTGTTATCTACTACTCATGGAATTAAATAACAACAGCAACAACTTTTATTTGTTACCCACTTCTCGTAATGATTAAAACAGACAAATATAATACTATTAAAATGCATGAGTAGCATGGAGCATCCTAGTTGTCCATTCTCCATTTCCTGCCCTTAGAAATCAACTCCTGTCTTCCCTTTGTGAAGCTCAGCAATTTGATAATATAATATGTATGTTGCTTTTTTAAAATATCTGGACAGAATTTAATTAGTTTGGTCATGGAAGTATTAACTCATCTCACCACTTTGTCATGCTACAGGCTACAAGAACCTTATATGTTGAATTGTTACTATGTCATTGATGTTCATATCCGTCTCTCTGCACAGATAAGGTATGGATGAGGTTGCAATGTCATGCCTAACTTTGGCTTAAGGTCTGGGGTCAAACCATTAGGAAAATGAAGGTGAAATCGCTGAAGTAATGAAGTAAAAAATAAAAACATTTCCATTCTGGCCAGCTGTTCTCCTAAACAGTGTCTTCGTCCTGAAGTTGAGGAGAGAAAAGAAGCTGCATTTAACAACTTATTTCACTGATCAATGAATACATACCTATAATAAAACAATAGCTCTATTTATTAAAGTCAAAACATAATCCAGTAAGCTATCATTTGATCTATAAATCAAATGCTGGGCTTGGCAAATAATTTTCTGTTTACATTCATGTGCAGGTCTACAATAAAACATTTTAAAAAATTTAAAAAACAAAACCTTTATGTTGCTTAAGAACACAAAATCCAAAACACATTTGACACCAGATGCTATTTTTAACAAAGCTTTCTACTTATGAAAGTTAGGCAATGAATGAGATCACTAAGATGTCTGATGCTTAAACAGAGCTTTCCAGAAGTGAGTTTTCTTCTACTAGGGACACAATAAGCTTACACAACCGTTATGCAGGATCTAGATGTCAATTTTCAAATTAATGTGTCTGCGGTAGGGAGATCCAAGTGTTTTCCCCTCAGCTAAGAAGAACAATGAAGTCTTAAAACAAAGCCAGGAAAAGCTACAACTGCCAAGATGGAGCAGCAAAGGAATGTCTGGGCTAAAAGGGGAAATGGGGCTGATCAGGGAGGTGAGCTGTTTCTCCTGATCTACGGCCTCCTGAATCAGTCTGTATGTACTTCAGTCTAGAGAAAATGATCCACACATATACTCTAGACATCTTTGATTATTTTTAAAAGCTTTTAAAAAGAATAAAGGAGGAATATATACTTAAATTAAATAGTTCAAGAGCATCTTGCATTTTTGTCATGCCACAGACTACTAGAACCTTATACTCGAGAGCAAACTGAATTTTTGCTGGAGTTGTAAGACGCCTTGAGTCCCTTCAGATGAGAAAGGCGGGGTAGAAATAAAGTAAGTAAATAAATAAATCTTTTTCTTAGTTTCCACACAGTAAAGGAAATCTATTTTGAAGATGTAGAGGTTCCCAAGGAAGAAAGGAGTCAGGTAAGGAGAAAGGTGTCAAATATGGATATCTTAATTATTAAGATACCGTATTCTGCTATCTACATGACAAGGTTTGCTACGTAAAAATATTTTCCAATTAATACCAGTGTTTTTGCTGTTTGAGTGAAAACAGCATTTAGCTTAAACTGGATGTGAAGAGATGTTACAGTAATTCATGAGTTAACGCAATAGAGGGGAGTAACAATGAAGGAATGCAAGCTATGTAGTTTCAGGTATCAAAACTGAAAAGAAGACTCAAGTGTGTTGTTATTTTGCCATGATGTGACCATTGAATGTGCTTTTAAGGTTGTGCTGTATATACTTTGTAAATAAAGCAAAAAAGAACCGCTCTTTTTGGGAGCAGACTTTTGGGAATCTGTTTGAAGTTATTTACGAAATTTCGTGCCTTTAAGGACAGAGTTACTTTGAAAGTCGAGAAAAGAACATAAAGCTGGCTGATTTATGATGGCATTATCTCAATTTCCTGACAATTAAATCATGGCTCTTGTGGTCTCTTCCAACTCTATAATTCAATGAAATCATTTTTCCTCATTCTTTGCACTGAAATGCTGTAGTTTATAATAAAAATCAGATATCCAAAATTTTGAATATAATTCTTGATAATAGATTAAAACTGTCAGGCCATCAAATGCTAATCAAGGTGGCCAACTGAAACCTTCACACCTAGCTCCAGCAGATAAAAGCTCTTTCTCCCACCCTGGACATTCCACAGATATATAAACCCAATTTTCCTAGTTCCAACAGACCTCACAACCTCTGAGGATGCCTGCCATAGATGTAGGTGAAATGTCAGGAGAGAATGCTTCTAGGACATGCCCATATAGCCTGAAAAACCTACAACAACCCTGAAAAGTGAATATTTAGAGATTTAGTTGTTAGCATTCTGTGGATTGTGCCTTTATCTGCAAATTTGTCCCTTCTAAATTTATAGATATGAACATAGTCTTACCTAATGAAAATGGAACAAAGGCTTCCTTCTTGATGAACTGTCCAGAGCTGTCCAAAAACCTCTCGGGGCAAAACATTTCTGGATTATTCCAGTACTTTTCATCAAAATGTACAGAATAGAGGTTTGTAATGACTGTAGTGCCTTGAGGGATAGAATAGCCACGCACAACTGTGTCCTTAGATGTGGCATGGAAAATACCGAGGGGAGCCACATTACAGAATCTTAAAATTTCATGCAGCACAGCCTCTGTATATGGCATTTTACATTTCTCTTCCAGGCTGGGTGTTTTGTTTGGCCCAATGACCATATCAATTTCTTTATGGACTTGTCCTGTTAAGAGAAAAGGCTTTCAGTTTATAAAATAATGGTCTGGTTTAAAAAATGTAAATAAAATATTAGTTCTTGGCAATCTAATATATTAAATATTTGCAAGGTGTCTTCTCACATTCACCTGAATATTTTTCCTTCCCCCACACCCCCTTGTCTTGGAAATGGAATCCAAGTCTGAACCCAAAATTCATTTATGATTTATGTACGCCTTAACAACAGGCTATTAGATAGGTTCCAACAGGCTTTGAGAAATGATTAACCCCAGACTAATAGTTAGGTCCCCACTCTGTTCCCTACATACTTCCCTGGTCCTGGAAATGGCCTTTTTAGACCTGGTCTAGCCCTTTTATACCTATTCAATAGGCCCTGGAAATGAAGAGCCCCAGGCACCACCCTAGCAAATTAGCTAGGGCCTTGTCATGCACTTTATCCACTTCCCCGGGCTCTATGTTTTCCCCATTGGCCTAGCCTTCCTGTGGTTATGCAAAGCACCTTGAAAATAATAGCTCCAGGCCCCACCCTGATCATCAGGCTGGCCATGCTTGCACTTTACCCACTTCCTGCCCCTAGTCTACTTCATCATCCCAACCCAGCCCTCTCTTAGTTGTCAAGGCCCACTTTGGAATCTTAGCCATTGGAAGCTGAGCTGCCTAATGTAATGAGTATCGGATTGGTTTTAATTTAAGTATGCATGATTGTCATATAGTACTATGATTATATGGTTATAATGTTTTTGTATGTTTTTATGTCGGTAAGTGCAATGCTTACCATATTGGAAACCGCCCTGAGTCCCCTTGGGGAGATAGAGTGGTATATAAATAAAGGTTTATTATTATTTTTATTTTGCTGACACAAAAACACAGTATGTCACAGCAAACGAGATCTATATGCTGGATTTTGTATCATAAAATCACAAGTCGAACACATCCCAAGTGTTTAGGACTGGGTGATGTATTTTTGAATGATGCGCACAGATCCAAGTAAGGTGGCCTTTTGTAGTTGATTCTGTCAATGTTTATTGTTTCCAAATGCTGGCTGAGATCTTTTGACATGACACCCAGTGTGCCAATTACTACTGGGACCACCTGTACTGGTTTATGCCAGAGCCTTTGCAGTTCGATTTTGAGGTCCTGATAATGAATGAGTTTTTCCTGTTGTTTTTCCTCAATGCGAATGTCACCTGGTATGGTGACATCAATAATCCAAAGTTTGTGTACTCTGGACTATCAGAAAGCAAATAAGTCATTATCTCAATTACCCATGTGGAACATTTCAGATTCTGGAGTTTTTCAGATTTCAGATAAGGGATGCTCAACCTGTGCTAAGTTATTTTTGAATATTTCAAATTAGTATAGCCCAACACAAGGATGTAAAAAGACTAATACCAAATAAATATAATATGAATTACAATTCCATCCAATTTCATCATGGCTGTTGACTGAAGACAGAGATGTTCTGAAACATCATGCCTTAGTCTTCAGCAAATCAACACCACATCTCATACTTCAAAAAGAAGAGAGGGAAAATCACAAATGAAGTTGGGATATTGCCAAATTATACCAAGTGACACAACAGAGAAATATTCAGCATTGTTAAAGATTGACAGGAACAGCATTTCTTGTAAAACACATTCTTAATCATACAGTTAAAGATGTTATCGTGATGATGCAACACTTACCTTGAATATTAGGATAAAGAGCCATGAACAACACTGCCCACCTTAGAACATTTGTTGTAGTTTCTGTTCCAGCAATCATAAGTTCTCCAACAGAGAAAATTAAGTTCTCCATGGAAAATGTAGACTCTGGGTCATTTTTATGTTTAGCCACTTCATCTAAATAGGCATCTATGAAATGACGAGGTGACTGAGGCTTCCTGTTCTGTGAGAAACGCTGAATAAGATGGAGCAGAAAGGTATAGACTTCAGCTGCATTTTTAAATAGTTGCTGATGTTTTCCAAAAGGCAGGATGCCAATCCATGGAAAAGCATTATACAGAAATGCAGAAGCACTAGCTGCCAATTCAATGTTTTCACTAAATATATCAATCATGTGCTGAAATTCAGTGTCCTCATATGTAAACCGCTCTCCAAAAATAATTAAGTTAGAAATATTTGAAACTGCATTTGTTATCAGGTATTTCATATCAAAGGGTTTCCCTTTATAGGTATCAATGGCCTCAAGGAAGATCACCGATTCTTCTGATATCTTGCTTTCAAAGGCCTTCTGACCATACCCAAAAGTCCGAAAGCTGGTTACAGCTAACTTGCGGTGCTCTGTCCAACCTCGTCCATATCTTGAGTTCAATAAACCTGAAAAACACAAGTAAGATATAAGTTTCACCAAGGATTTTACTTTCTTAAAGTCAACTCCCTTTATCAATTTGATTTATCTGTCTTTGTAAAGATGTGGCTAGAACATTCTAGTATGAATAGACTATTCTGCTGACAAGAACTCCATACAGAAACAACATGAGACCACTTTTAAAGGAGATGGACTGGCTGCTAATCATTGCTTGCGTCTTCAGTTGTCTCTTGAGAAATATGCTCTGGGCAGGTGTTAGAAAGGCCTTCTTTGCTGAAGAACACCAAATTAGGAATGCCCTTCTCATGTAGATGTCTGATTAGCACCAACTCTGACAACTTTGGCACAGGATCCAAAGAGAGGTCGCTTACAATTTGCAGCACAAAGCAAAATAGGTGTCAAGCATGCACACACACAAAAAAAAAAAAAGCAAACAGTTCTACAAATCAGAGGAGGTGGATGGTGTAGCATATGTTTCTTAAATATCCCATCTTTCCTCCCACCTCTACATTAAAAACTGCTTTTAAAAATGGGGATTTGCAAAGCGGTTTGTACTATGGCACATTACTCGGCTGCTTAAAGAAAAAAAGAGTAAAATTCCCATTCGGAATGCCTCAAGTACTTCTTTGGATCTTTGCCATTGTCTCTCTATTGCAGGATGAATCCTGAAAGAAAGAGTACATCCTTGCAGTTCTCCTATCAAGCCAATATATTGCTGTCTCAGCTCCAAAAGCTGTTTTTCTTTATTGGGCTAGATTCAAACTGAAAAGTTATTTCGTTAAGCACAATTTTAGAAAGGCAGATCCAACAATTTCTACTAGATTTAGATTGCTGACCTTTTCAGAAGCTACAATTCAGGATCTTCTTGTCCATAAAAAATGGACCCTAATAAAATTGTGTAAAAAGCAAAAGCCTATACTATTCTGAGCGATTAAGAATGAAGAAATGTGGGTGAATGAAGTTAAGTAATGGAATTAAGCAAGGCTGGCAAAATTATTAACAAGAGGCAAAAAATAGGAGGCTATCCTTTTTTTCTTAATCTAATAGTAGAAATAACTACTTGGTAGTCCTTCATTGAAAGCTAAAAAAGAAAATACTTTCATGAATTGAGTTTACATTCAAGATTATGTTTCATATCAGTGTGTGCCTGTATGTGTATGTGCACACATATACAAAATGGTAAAAAGCAATGCATACTAATAAAACAGTAGGACCATAAAATATGAGGCAGCAGTGATAATGGTTACAGCACAAATTTAACTAATTTACCAATTTACGATGCCATAAAATATTCAGCAAGCAAGCAAAAGAATGACTCCATCAGTGTCACAAATGGACGGTGAAGCAACAATTCCCCTGGTGGCCAGAATACCCTCAAGAAGCTGGAATGTTAAATAGCCCTAAATTGTTCAGGTCCAGACTGTTTGCAAAACCACATTTCCATTTATATACCCACTCGAGCACTGTGATCTGCAAGAGGCCCTTCTCTTGGTCCCACCTCCGTCTCAAGCATGGCTAGTTTATAGGAACGAGAGAAGGGGCCTTCTCTGTTATTGCTCCCCGCCTCTGGAACTTTCTTCCAAAAGAATTAAAAACTACCCCCTCTTTCCTCAACTTTAAAAAGCTGCTAGAAAAACATCTATGCACTTTCGCATATGGAGAAGAGGAAGATTAATACGTCTTGACATATAACATCATCTAGATCAGATCTGCAACTTCACTCCTTTCTTTCAGGAAAAAACTAAAAACATGGATCTGGGACCAGGCATTTGGACAAGTGGGCAAATAAAGAAGAACTCCATTGATGGCTAGGAAATGACTAACGGATTGGACATGTGGAACTCTGGAAACGAAACGCTGATTTTAAGAATGACTTTTATATGATGTTTTTATATGATGTTTATACAATGTCTTAGGTACCAGTTGTTGATGTTTTATTGTGATAATCGTTTTAATTACATTTTTGTATATTGTTCTTTTATATTTTTGTATACTATGTATTATTATGTATAGGCATCGAATTCTGCCTTTTTTGTAAGCCGCCCTGAGTCCCCCTCCGGGGGTTGAGAAGGGCGGGGTAAAAGTACCAGTAATAAATAAATAAATAAATAAATAGATAAACTAAATCATATTTAGATATTGGAACTGACCTCAGCCTGTACGTGTTGGCAACCATTTATTTATTTATTTATTTGCAGTATTTATATTCCGCCCTTCTCACCCTGCAGGGGACTCAGGGCGTATTACAATGTACATATACATGGCAAATATTCAATGGCATAGACACACAACATATACAGACAGACACACAGAGACTATTTAACATTCCAGCTTCAAGAGGGTATTCTGGCCACCAGGGGAATTGTTGCTTCACCGTCCATTTCTGACACTGATGGAGTACTTCCTCATTCTTTTGCTTGCTTGCTGGATATTTTATGGCATCGTAAATTAGTTAAATTAGTCTACCCGCAGAAGCGGTACCTAAATTTCCTACTTGACAGATGCAACTGTCTTTCAGACTGCAAAGGTTGACAGCAAGCTACACAATGGTCAGAAGCTCATTCCGACCCGACCTGGCTTCAAACTAATGACCTTTGGGTCAGTGATATTAATGCAGCTAACTCCCAGCCAGCTGCACTACAGTCCCGGTGCAGTCCCATTTTATCCCTTAATAAGGTTTTAGTTGTTTCAAATTCTTATTCTGTTTAAATTCATATTATGTGATTACATCTGTTAGGATTGCCTAGTTTTATTTTTTATTGATTTCTATTTGCTATTAAGTTTATAGTAATGGCTGTTCTATTTTCTGTGATGTGCCACGTTTTAATGTAATCTGTTATACGTCTCTTTGTTGGCATTGAATGTTTGCCATATGTGTTGGAAACTGCCCTAAGTCCCTGTGGGGAGACAGGGCGGTCTATAAATAAATTATTATTATTATTATTATTATTATTATTATTATTATTATTGTTATTTTACTGACACAAAAACACAGTATGTCACAGCAAATGAGATATATATGCTGGATTTCATATCACAAAATCATAAGTGGAACACTTTCCAAGCATCTAGGACTGTGTGATGTATTTTTGAATGATGCATGCAGATCCAAGTAAGGTGGCCTTTTGCAGTTGACAGATTGTGATTTTGTCAATGTTTATTGTTTCCAAATGCCGGCTGAGATCTTTTGGCACGGCACCCAGTGTGCCGATGACCACTGGGACCACCTATACTGGTTTATACCAGAGCCTTTGCAGTTCGATTTTGAGGTCCTGACAACAGCTGAGTTTTTTCTGTTGTTTTTCTTCAATGTGACTGTCACCTAATATGACGACATCAATAATCCAAACATCTTTCTTTTCCACAGTCATGATCTCTGGTGTATTGGTGTTTTGGTGTATTGGTGTATTATTATTATTATTATTATTATTATTATTATTATTATTATTATTATTATTGGCAACTGACTGGCCACAGTGCAAACTGAGAATTGACAGAGGGAGAATTTTTGTCAGATGCAGCATTTCATAATATGTTGTTGCTGTCATCTAGACAGTACAAATCTGTGTTTCCTGTGTTGGGAGTTCGTTTGGGAGTTGGAATGGGCTTTGGGTTCTTCCGATCCAATGTCTTGCCCACTTTGTCCATGGCAGGTCTCCAACAGCAGAGCTCTAAGAAAGTAATGGAATGGCCAGCTTTTTTTTTGGGGGGGGGGGGGGGGGGGGGGTCAACCCAGAGATTAGATGAGAGTGCCTTAATTAAAGATTTCAGGATTCAAGGAATCCACTTCATTTCATGTATATGCATTTTGTCTTCAAGTTGCCTATTAACTAACAGCAACCTTATTAATTTCAATTTCAAGCAGTACATTAATCTCTTGAAAATAATAACAAGAGCTCTTAATGTTATACTTAAGCTGTTGAAAATACAGGGTTAGTCAAAATGAATAGGCCAATAAGAAAATTAATTTTAGACGAATGTATGTTTACTGTAACCAAACCACAGCTACGTAGCGACAGATAAACTATCAAAGTTTTTTTTGAGCAACACACATGTACGTTAATGCCGCTAGGCGTCGCTAGGGGTCGCTGTTTTCAAAATGGCGGAATCAAGCAAAGAGAAGGCGTTTTGTGTGATGACATTTGCTAAAACAATGTCAGTAATTACGGTCCAGCGAGAATTTCAAGGGTTAGGGTTAGGGTTAGGGTTAGGGTTAGGGATAGGGTTAGGGTTAGGGTTAGGGTTAGGGTTAGGGTTAGGGTTAGGACCTCAACGAACACCTTCCCAGACGTTGCTGCATTCGATGCCATTACGTCGGATGTGCTGCAACGGATGTGGAATGAACTGGACTATCGCTTGGACATCTGCCGTGTCACACGGGCGCCCATATCGAACATCTCTGAAGGTGAGACAAAACTTTGATAGTTTATCTGTCGCTACGTAGCTGTAGTTTGGTTACAATAAACATACATTCGTCTAAAATTAATTTTCTTATTGGCCTATTCATTTTGACTAACCCTGTATATGTTTGACACTCACATGCAACTGTCATAGCTGCGTGTTCCCACTAGAAGGCACTCCTCTGGCTTGTTGGTTATGTGTGCTTTCAAATCATTTTCAACTTATGATGGCTATAGCAATGTTCTTCTCCAGCTACCTGATGTGAGGCACTGGCAATATTTTCTTCCTAATGTGGCAGAAAGTAGTACCACATTTTTTTGCATTGGCTAAAACAGGTGTCATCCCCTTTTTCTGGAAATTCACCACAGACCCACAACTAATGGTTGGAAGATTGGCATTGGGTCATGGGCCATCAGATGCAAATACATACAGCACAGCCCCAGGATCCACATGGGATGTGTTCCTGAAGTTAGCATAGACAATGGTGAACCCTACTGAAATACAGAACTTCTGCCAGAAGTTGTCATAGAGTCATATTGAGGGTCCAGAATATTAATATAAAGATGTGTCCTGTAGGAATTTATTGGGTTTTTCAATGCAATTCTGGAAACTTCTGATGAAAGCACTCCATAAAATTGCCTGTAAGACCTAGAAAATTCCTAGAAAGAAAAGATTATGTCACGTGCCGGGGAGGGGGGGGGGCAGTCCTATGGATAAAGGGGTCATACTATGGAACAAAGCTGTAGGTTTCATTTTAGTAAAAATGAATAAACAACATTGAACAGCATTCAGGACACTACATTTTGAAGGAAAGGGAATTCATTGCGCAACCATTTCCTCTTTGTCCCATCCCTAAACCTGTCACTTAGTAGTAGAGTGAGGCATTGAGAGAAAGCAGGCAGCACCAAATGTTAATTTTCATGCATCAGGTTTTCCCTGTTATAAAAAACTGTTAAACTGCTTGTACCCTTACACGTATATGTATTCGTGTCACTTTGATTTTCTTGTCTTCCCTTTTGCCTCTCATTGAGGAAAAAGTTTACATGATTTCCAACTGTGCGTGTCTCAGGGTTTCCCAGCATCTGCTAACACTTCTTCTTTATGGTTGATACATTTTTGCATGAATAAATAGTACTTTTTTGTCCATTCTTTAAAAAATCACAGTGTTGACATACCTCCCATTTTTGTCAGCTTCTTGAACAAAGGAAGAGATGGCCTGTCTGCAAAAACCTCACTCTGTTGAACAAGGCATTCTTTAATTGTGTCGTATCCATTCAGTACAATAGCAGAGATACCTCCAAGATCAAGGCTAAAGATCTGAAAAAGAGAGAAGTGTTACCTGTCACTTTCAAGAATAAGTCTAAATAAGGATAATAACGCCACTACATTCTCTTCAAAACATCATTCCTTGACCAACTTGTTGAAGAATACCTTTTATACTCCTTAACATTGTACAATGCCCAAATATATGATTTCAGGTTGTGGGTATATAATGCAGTTTTCACTTCTAATAGTTTAAAAAGCAGTATGGAATATAATAATAACATATATAAAAAATCCAAAACTTTGATGACTTGTTCAGAATCTATCCTGCCCCATTTTATTGTCATAACCTAAACATTAACTGCCCCAGGAAGTGAAAAAAATACAGTTAACAACATATTTGGTTTAAAGTGGCAGGTTTATTTATTTACCATATATCTATCCCGCCCTATCTCACCCCAAGAGGAGACCACCTTCAACAACATACAGAAATTCTACATAACCAAAGGTAAGGAGTTCTTACCCAAAACATATGGAAGATCAAAGACTGAGAACCAAAGATTGATTTACAGCAGCCCTACAACAGAGAGATCTCCAAGTCATCCTACCAATAGCAGCCTGCTCAACTCTTGCAGATCTAGGGCCATGGCTTCCTTGATTGAGTCTATCCATCTGGAGTACCTTACTAGTCATGTCTCCTCATGATATGGCCAAAGTATGACAGTGTTGGTTAGCATCTTGGTTTTTAGGGAGAGTTCAGACTTGTTTACTCTTGGACTCATTTTTGTTTTTTTAGCACTGCACAGTATGCATAGAACTCTTCTCCAGCATCACATTTCAAAAGAGTTGATTTTCTTCTGACCCAGCTTTCTTCACTATCCAGCTTTCACAACAATACATAGAAATTAGAAATATAATAGAAACTGACAATCCTAACTTTGTTATTCAATGTTCAGTATCTTCTCTTGTTCCCTAATAGGTCTTGTCTAATTCTTTTACAGCTGTCCTTCCTAGTCCTAGGGCCTTTCTTCAAGGACAAAAAATGTACTTCCCTTGTAGCCACTGAGATGTGGACACACAATGTGCTTTAAATGCAGTTATTTGGGATTTAATCTGGTTCAACCTGCCCCCCCCCCCATCTTTTATACTGCATTTTTGACATGTGGACAGTCCTTTCAAATCACTGGAAAAGCCGTTTAAAATTGAACAGGAGAAGGAGAGTCTTTGTGATAGGGAGGTGATAAATGGAGTGAGGTGTTAGTGCTTTTGGTAGGACATGGAAGGACAGATAGAGGGACAGAAGATTTGGGGCAAAGAAATCAAGCTAGTTAAACAGCAAATACAAACTCACAATGAAATGCCCTCTACTTAAAAGGATATATGGATGGGATTGGGCGGGGGAGTGGAACTATGTTGCTGAAAATAATGTGAAGGATTAAAAATTGTGATGTGTGTCCACGAAGAGGGTCAGCCAGATCAATCTAGAACAGAAAAAGGAAATGCAAAACAGATATTTTTTTCATTACTATAGAGAGGGCCTTGGTCTTCTTCTGATCTCTCTTGACTGCAATCTTCATTTTGATTACTGATTGATCATAATCTACTGTAAAGGTAGATATATCATCTATGGCCACTATTTTGATTTTCCTTATACTCAAATGTAATCCTGCCTTGGCATTTTGTTCGTTGACTTTTTTCTGTAATCTTTCCAACTCTTTACTATTTTATGCTAGCAATATAATGTCAACTGCATATCTTAAAATGTTGATCTTCATTCTTCCAATTTTCACACCTCCTTTTTCCAAATCTAATACTGCTTTGCATATGACATGTTCATCATACAAACCCCTTTGCCAATTGGAAAGCATTCTGTTTTCCCCTATTCTGTCCTAACAGTAAGTACAGAACAATCAAATGTTGTGACATGCCCATTTCTTTAAGAGCAATCCACAGTTTTTCATGATCCATACAATCAAAAGCTTTGCTATGATGTGTACATTTTCTTTTGAGAGCCTTTGGCACATTCCATTATCCAATGTATGTTTGCAATAAGATCCACAGTGTCTCTTCCTTTCTTGAACCCAATTTGAACATGTGACATTTCTTGTTCCATATATGGTAAAAAGCACAAGCTCACTCTTATAAGTACCAGTAAAACCATCACCAAGGGCCCTTCCGCACAGCCATATAACCCAGAATATCAAGGCAGATAGTCCACAATATCTGCTTTGAATTGGTTATCTGAGTCCACACTACCATATAATCCAGTTCAGCATGGATGTTATATAGCTGTGTGGAAGGGGCCTAAATTGAAAAGAGAACAGAAACTTTATTTATGAGAGATCTCCATTCTAATATCAAAAATTCAAGAAACCATAATATCCAGTATTTAAACAGGAGTGCCCTCTTGCTCAATGCTTCCTGGGTTATCTGATGCAGCAATTATTTCTTCCAATCTGTCAGGGACTGGCAACACATTGGTACTCACCAGCTGCAACTGCTTCCTTATTTCTTGGAAACTTAACAGGAATGGCCTGCCAATGGCTCAGGAACCAGAACCAATCCTAGAACCCCTCTTTGAATAATAGTGTTCTAGCTCACATCTCCAACTTGAGACCTTTGCTATTCTGAGGCAAGTTTAGTTAGAAAATGATAGTAGTTGGCTTGTTTTACCAGAACCACCTACAGAACCCACTACAGATTCTGTAGTAAATGTGAAGCTGGTGGAGCTCCCATCTCCTCAACAGAAGAACTCATAAATAAGAAGAGCTCTGGTAAGTAACACAGAGGTCGGGTAAGAAGTCACTCCACAAGAGACGGTGGTGGTGCTGGATGACTGGAGGAACTTTCCCAAGCATCATCACAGCTGTACTTGGAGGCCAAATTAGGAACATATTGCAAATAGTAATTACATATTTCATAATAAGAACACTGAACACAATTCTTTTGTAATATTTAACATTCCATTTCATAGAGTCACGGAGTTGGAAGAGATCACAAGGGTAATCCTGTCCAACTCATTACCATGCAGGAACACACAAACAAAGCACTCCTGACCCATGGCCATCCAGCCTCTGTTTAAAACCCCCCAGAGAAGGATTAGAACATGCTCTGAGGCAACAGGATATTCTATTGCAGTAGTTCTCAACCAATGGGTCCCCAGATATTTTAGTCTTCAACTCCCAGAAATCCTAACTGCTGGTAAACCGGGTGGGATTTCTGAGAGTTATAGGCCAAAACACCTGGGGACCCACAGGTTGAGAACCACTGTCTACTGCCAAACAGCTCTTACAGTCAAGAAGTTCTTCCTAGTGTTTAAGTGGAATCTCTTTCCCTGCAATTTGAATCCATTCATCCCTGTCCTAGTCCCCAGAGCAGCAGAAAACAAGCCTGCCTCCTCCTCAATGCAACATCCTTTCAAATATTAAAACATGGCTATCATGTCCCCTCTCATCCTTCTTTTCTCCAAGCTAAACACACACAGCTCCCTTAGCTGTTCCTCATAGGGCTTGGCTTCTAGACCTTGATAATTTTAGTCTCCTGCCTCTGGACATGTTCCAACTTGTCAATAACTTCCTTGAATTTAGGTACCCAGAACTGGACACCGTGTTATTCCAGGTGAGGTCTGTCCAAACATGAGTAGATTAATAGGTACCGCTCTGGTGGGAAGGTAATGGCACTCCAAGCAGTCATATCGGCCACATGACCTTGGAGGTATCTACGGACAATGCCAGCTCTTCAGCTTAGAAATGGAGATGAGCACCAACTCCCAGAATCGGACATAACTAGACTTTATGTCAGGGGAAACCTTTACCTACCTAAAATTGCATTGAGTTTTTTAGCTGCTACATCACACTGTAGACTCATATTCAGCTTGTGGTCTACTAACTCCTAGATCCCTTTCACCTGAACTGTTTCAAATACAGCACTCATGACAAAGACACCCTGATGTTTGAAATAGTAAGTAACTAACACAATTCTAAAGTCAAATATTCAGAGTTAAGTTAAATTCCATTCAATTCAGTGGAACCAATTCCCAAGTAATTAAGTTTAAAGCTGTATCCTCAAACCTTTCAGATGCTGGTATAATCGGAAAAAATAACAAGGATATTTTCTACTCAGAATGTAGCACTTCTCTATTACATAACACATCCATTTAGACTTTCCCATTCATATCAAGTTTGTTCTTGCAAGAACTGTGGGATAGGTCGCTTTAATTTCTGTTGCACAAGCCAGAGGCAAACAGAGTTAAGAGAAATTCTCACTGAGGCTGAATCTTGAAAGGAGGCATCCAAAGGCGTATGTGTGTGTGTGGGGGGGGGGGGGGGCGCACTGTAAAATGGGATTTACTTCTGAAAACAACCAATCTAGAACTGCACAATATGGTACCTTGCTCAGCAAGACCGACTTGGCTAGCAATATTCAAACCTGCTCACTGGAGACTCAGAGGAATGGGTTCAAATTACAGGAAAGGAGGGTCCAACTGAACATTAGGAAGCTGACCTTGAGGTCCCTTCTACACTGCCAATTTATCGGCTTGGACTAGATTACATGGCAGTGCAGACTCATAACCCAATTAAAAGCAGATAATGTGGATTATCTACTTTGATAATCTGGATTATATGGCAGTATAGAAAGGGCCTGAGAATTGTTCAGCAGTGGAACTCTCTGCCTCGGAGTGTGGTGAAAGCTCCTTCTTTGGAGACTTTTAAATAAAGACTGGGAGCCCTTCCACACAGCCCTATATTCCAGAATATCAAGGCAGAAAATCCCACATTATCTGAGTGTGAACTCAGATAACCCAGGTCAAAACAGATATTGTGGGATTTTCTGCCTTGATATTCTGGGATACAGGGCTGTATGGATGGGCCCAGGGAGCCTTTCCACACAGCCCTATATCCCAGAATATCAAGGCAGAAAATCCCACAATATCTGCTTTAAACTGGAATATTTGGCAGTGTGGACTCAGATAACCCAGGTCAAAGCAGATATTGTAGGATTTCCTGCCTTTGTTTTCTGGGATATAGGGCTGTGTGGAAGGGCCCCCAGTCTATGTTTAAAAGTCTCCAAAGAAGGCGCTTTCACCAAACTCTGTAGCAGAGAGTGCCCCTGATGAACAACTCTCAGGCCCCTTCTATACTACCATATAATCTAACCCTCTGTCTATCCATGGGTGCATCTACACTTTCGATTTAATGCAGTTTGACACCACTTTAACTGTCATGGCTCAATGCAATGGGATCCTGGAAGTTGTCATTTGGCGAGGTACCATCATTATTTGCCAGAGAAGGCTAAAGACCTTGTAAAACTGAGCCATGTCAATGGTGTCACATCAGAACAGAGAGATGCCTTAAATTATGGACTGTTGATTCTAAGAATCAACAGAGAAATTACTTCAAATCCTATTTGGAGGCTCCTTCTTTGGAGGCTTTTAAACAGAGGCTGGATGGCCATCTGTGGGGGGTGCTTTGAATGTGCTTTTCCTGCATGGCAAGGGGTTGGACTGGATGGCCCATGTGGTTGCTTCCAACTCAAGGATTCTATGATTTCCAAGACTCCAACGCAAAAGCTAGACCGTACAAACAATCAAGACGGACTGAATATCCCTCATCCAAACTGCTTGGGACCAAACACTGTTTGCTGGCTATACACCTTGTCCACCTATCCCAGGCCTGGGCGAACTTGGGCCCTCCCTCCCTCCCTCCCTCCAGGTGTTTTGGACTCCAACTCCCCCCATTCCTCCCAGCCTCAGGCCCCTTCCTTTTCCCCCTCAGCCGCTTAAACTGCCGGGTCCTACCTGCCCGTGGAGCTGGCTCTGCCGCCTCATGTAGACGTGGGGCTGCTCGGCGGCCAGGGAGTGGATGTTGCCCACGAGCGGCAGCCCCGCGGGGCCCGGAGGGAAGCCCACCGGCCGCCTCTGCTTCAGCAGCTGCCTCACCACCAGCAGCACCAGTGACAGCGCCAAGAGCAGCAGGAGCAGGGCGGCGGTGGCGGTCCCCGAGCCCCCCGCTGCCGCCGCCGCCCAGCCCTCGGAGCCCATCCCGCCGCCCTCGCCGCCCGGCGCGCTCTGGCTAACCCGCGGCGCCGAGCCCTCGCCTCGTCTCTCTACCTCGTCCGGATAGGACGCCGGAGACGCCTGTCAAGCGGCAGAGAACGTGATTGGACGGATCGTGCCCGTTCCACGCTCCTCGCGCGACGGGCTGCTGCTCTGTTCCCGGCTCTCCTTTCCCTCGTGCCAGATTGCGAAGTTCTTCCCTGGGAAAGTGCCTGAGAAGGGAGCCTCCCTCTCCCGGGCCTCTCTCCTCCCCCCTGCCCCCCCCCCTCGCCGTTCCTCATTCCTCAGCCAGTTCTTTCCTTACTCCACCCGGGACACGTTGGCTTTCCACAGGCTTGCTCACCGAGCCACGAAGGTCCTTACATAACCTTGCCACAAAACTCGGTTTGAATAGCAGCTGGGAGAGGAATCTAGGGCAGAAACGGGGAAGGGTTGGCTTGGGGTGAGAGGATGATAGCTGGATCCCAGATAACAGGGAAGGAATGGAACAGTTATTTAATGAGAAATGAGAAAGGACAGTTTGGGAAGACCTTAAACGGGATAGAAATCAGCAATCTGACCCAAAATATTATTAAACTGCTCAATGTTGTTCTCAGCCCACAGCCAGGCTGTCCAGAAACTCGAAGGCGTTGGGCACAAATGCTTTCCAATAACTCAATAACTGCTCAATAAACTGGATTACTTTCATTGTATACCACTCCTCCTATTGCTCCCCCCTTTCTATCCTTCCTTCTAATACAACTACGAACTATCTTCCCGACTCCCTCCCCCCAGTCTGCCTGCTTTCACTCTGTTCCCCTTGCTGGACCACAGTGGTCTGACACGTGTTCCCTTCCCTCATTCACAACCGCCTTTGTGTCCTCATTCACAACTGCCCACTGGGACCCAGCTATCATACTATCACCTGACTTGGTTTGGATTTGAGGCTGGATCTACCCTGGATCTGAAAATAAAGCTGGGGAAGGGTGGGATTCAGCTCTAGTTGATCCTGCTCTAGCTGTGTGTGCCTGTCTACAGCAGGCAAGACAAACAGCGGTTGCCTGTATAATCTTTTTGATAAGGAAAAGCAGCCTTCTCCTCCAAATAGATGTATTTAGAGTCAGATTAATAGAAGTAGAACTGGACAGAGAGCCTTGTTGCTCAGGTCAAAGCAGGAACATCACATTAGAGCAGGCACCTTCAAACTGTGGCCTCCAAGTCCCAGAATTCCTGACCATTGAACAAGCTGGCTAGGAGTTGAAGGCCCAAACCGTTGGAGGGCTTCAGTTTGAGGATGCCTGCATTACAGCAGTTGCACCCTCCTTCACACATTCTGTAAGTGTCTGACAGCCATTCTGATGAGAAAAAAAACCATAATCTGGTCAATAGGTTTGCATGATCAGATGATCATTACAACATCTAATCAATGCCAGTTTATGCTAAATGTTTCAATATTGAGAGACACTGCAAGATACACAGCGAAAGCTTAGGGACTGAGAGCCAGGTAGATATTAGCCTTGGTTGATAAAAAAAATGGTTCAAAATTCGTAATGCTGGTGGTTTGATTCGGAATTGAATTCTCTGAAATTTCTGAAATGTCCAAATCATTTTGTTAATGGCGGACGCAATTGCGCAATGTATGGGATTTCTAGTGTCTTCTTAGTAGATATGCCTGAGGTAGCCTGAGGATTTAAGAAAAGTTTGAGACCAATAAAGAAACACAGCCACAGCCCTTTCCCCCTTTAAAGAAATACGCATGCAAAAATAACCATCTCAGACACAGAGATAAAAGGTAAAAAGGACTTTACTTACAAAGGCTTGCATGATGTCATCTCATGCAGGTAACAAATTCCTTGGTCACAGTCAGTCATGAAATCTGGCCTTAAGGTGGTGAGCAGGCCTTCTTTCACCCAAAGTTACATCTCAGCAAAACAAAGAACCAAAAAAGGTAGCAGAAGGAGAAAGAAGCAAATGGGGGGAACAAAGGAAAACATCCCCTTTATATAGCTTTCCAACTGAAAATCTACCTCTGAGGATGCTTGCCATAGATGCAGGCGAAACGTCAGGAGAAATGCCTCTAGAACATGGCCCTATAGCCCGAAAAAACCCACAAGAACCTTGAAAATCTTGTGTTTTTTGCAGTTTGTAGCTTTTGCTTCCGCATTTACAGGGAATGGCATCTGGCCACCCTCCTGTTTGCTGCGGAAGCTCATGGTATAAAGGTACTGTCTGGATGGGCCTTTTGGGTACATTTCCATATGATTAATGCCCCTTGATATCATGGCTCAAAGCTATAGGATCATTGGAGTCATAGCTTTACAATGTTGCCTTTAGCCTTCTTTGCCAAAGAATGCTGATGAATAATCAAACTACTCAGAATGTAGCATTTCCCAGGGCTCTATAGCATTAAGCCATGGCAGTGAAAATTGTATCAAAGTGCAGTAATTATATAGTGTAGGTGCATCCAAATAAACTTGGCCAATCCAAGTAGATAAAGATAGAAATGCCTTCGCCTTTTCTCCTTTAAGGGAAAAGCATGTTAAATAAGCATGCTAATTTTTCATTCAAGGCATGAGAAACTGTTTCATAAGACTACTAATGAGTTCCAAGTAGATTTTATCTGGAAAATTAGTATCATGCTGATACTATTAGCAATGTTTACTCTTAATTAAACATTCTGCATGGTTTTTTACTTCAAGAACTTAAGAGCAGTAATCTTGAGATCATGTTTTCTTTTGTGCTTTCTTTTTATTAACTTTCTGTTTTCAGCACTTGTTGAAATGGACTTTGGTTGCTGCGTAAGGATTTTCTCCCTTCCTTCATAGATTTGGGGGCTCAGCCTTTTCAGAAGAGCATTAACACTTTGCATGCAGATTTTTTTTTATTACAAACTGCTGCAAGCGATTTCCAAAAGAGTACATGTGGTTCCATTCATATGAATGGGCATGTTAGCAAAGTATTAGCTAAGAGTGCATTCTGATTCACTTTTTCAGAATACGGTAATGACATAATTAACTGCATCTAGTCTTTGTTAGTTCCAGACAAGACAAGGGAGAGCCATGTATCTCCTGTGTTACATGTACCTATGATCTCAAACTTTGGGGATTTGTTTAATCCCGGGGTGTCCAAACCTTTTCAGCCAAGAGTCAGTTCATATCCTTCAGCCTGTTGGGGGTCCCACATTTTGGGCCTGTCTGGAGTGGCCCTTAGTTGTAATTTTTCCTGGTCGGCTAGTCTTTCTTCCACTGGCTATGCTGGTGAGAGGTAGCAGGAATTGCAATCAGCAACATCCTGAAGCCTGTATAAATCTCATTCCTGTGTTAATCTCTATTTCTTTCCAAGTAACAATACATCAATGTCTTTCCCCCTCTATACAAACGGTCTAAAATTATATCCAATCGGCTTAGTATGGTATGTTGTTTAACCATAACAACATGCCCTAGATATGTATCAGTGAGTAAAGTGTAAAGTGTCTTGAGATGGTTTTAAAAAGCTGATTTTAAAGGAGATATAACTGATTTTAATATTGTGTATATTTATAGTTATTTTATGTCCCAGCATGGAATGCTTGCCATATATACATTGTGCTCTGCCCTGAGTCCCCTTCGGGGTGAGAAGGGCAGAAATAAATGTTTCAAATAAATACATAATAAATAACATATATTAGCATGTTAGACACAAAACAAAGACATGCACCACTGAATACTTCAGAAATGCAAATCTGTGTCTCATATTTACAGTGGGAGGTTAGTGTTTGCTTAGTGTAGTGAATCAGCAAAGTGTAGGGAACAGCAATGTTTCGTAACAAAATAATAACAAAACACACAAATGTACATCAGTACCCACTACAGGAAACACAAGCTGTGGTCTTATACCTTCAGTAAGGAAGTTACATTGTTGGTTTGTACCCCATTTTCCCTAGTGCCTGGATTCCTAAGGTAAAAAGGATGTTACTGCATTGTGCAATCTGGCAAAATTATACTTTCAGGAATCTCCCTTTGTTCTACAGATGTTGTGTGTAGGGAGAAAATAAAGCTACAAGGTTTTCTTCTACCACTGGCAGTAGACAGGTCCTGAAATGACCAAAGGGCAGCTGTACAGCATTCCAGAAATAATAGAATGTGCTGTTGCAAATGATCCAGAATCGTACATAGTTATCCATCTATCTGAAAGTGATGTGTTATTACCTGTTTTTCCCTCAGGCCTGAGACCCAAAGTGACTATATTACCTTATCCTAATTTCTGAGTGCCTCTGGTTAAAACTAAGAGCATCATTTTCCAAGTAAAATGGTAGCACTCTACTCATCTTAAGACAATAAAACCTGGCAGATGTCCATGGTATTGTGATGTAGCTTGTGAAGTTGCAGATTGGGAAACATCACTGTCTTCCTCCTGAAAATAAAGCCAAAGAAGGAATGATTAAGAAGTCTATGAATGCATTAGTGTATCATGAGATATATCAAAGTTATCTCAGAGGTTATCACCTCTGCTGAGAAATATTAGAAATGTCATCACCTCTGCTGAGGAAGTATGTTTGCCATGGGAAAAAAGACACAGTGTTCTCTTTGGGAACAAACAGGTCCAGGGAAATGAATGAGTAACATGACTGAGCATCTCTATTTGCTGTTTTCAGAAAGACTGCTGTGTACATACCAGCTGTTATCATTGTAGCCCAAATGTGTCAAAATGTAAGGTCATGGGGTGGAATTAAACAAAACTTACACAGAACACGTTTTATTTTGTGTTGAGTTGAGCTAAATATTAAAGTCCTCACTTGAGGATCAGATTGACTGACATTTAAAGCAATAATTGAAGACTCTTTTTAGTCATGAATGCTGAGGAAGCGTGAAATCATTCCCTACTCTTGATGAAGCAAACCATTCTCTTTGATGAGCTGTTTTGCAGTCTGCTGTGATGTTCCTTATTCCATGGAAGGGCCCATAGTAAGGCCAGGAGATGTAAGGATATGAATTTCAGGCAGACACTTTTTTATATATATAATATATATATATATATGTCTACCACCAAAAATGTGTTTTTTGAGTATTGAGAAACTTTGAAGAGATGAGAATCTTTTGGCCTCAATCTACATAAAATTGATTGTGATTGTTTTTGGTGGGGAAAAGGAATTTTCACTGTAAGAAACAATGTATACAAGAAAAAAAAATACAAGAAAAAAAACACATGTATGAATTTTATGCAAAATA